GTTTTCTCAGGCTACTTTTGTTCAAGAGTGTTAAAATAATCTCTTATTTGCCAAATATAGAAAAGAACAAAAGTGGCCCGGTTGGGCGGGGCATTGCTCTACCAAGGGAGTTCTGCAGCTAAATGCTACTGGTTGGCCCTTCGTTGCGCCTGGTCAAAAAATGAGGTCCAATAAATACAGAAGTCGTGGCAGCCAACCTAGTGTGATATAATAGTCTAAAATGGTGTTGATAAACTGAAAACAAAACTTTAAAAATCTTAGTGACCTTGTCTTGTATTAGCTTCAACAGAGCCTTGTAACCATCTCTGAAATCCGACAGAAACGTACAGAAGAGCAGTGGGTTTATAGTCGGTGGTAAAAACGCCGCTGCGATGACATACTGGGAGAATTCCGTACTGATATTGTATCCAGACATGATGCAACTAATAGCCACCTGAAACAAAAAGAACCAATTCAAGGCATGGTCACAAAAACTTTAACCTAGAGTTTTTGAGTCAGAAAGCTTTTGTGCAAAGCCGGGATCCACTACTCCACGGAAAGACCGAAGGTGCCTTTGACTGACTTTAGTCTGGACATCAACTAGTATCAATGCATTGCACACCCCCTCTTCCGGGGGTAGTGGGGGAATGGAGCAATGTATAAATATTGTCTCGTAGTCGAGAAAAGGATTTCAAACAGGTTAGGAAACCGGGAAAAAACATCGAAATTCACATCTGACTGAGCCTAATGCTATTGAGCAAAATCTATCTTTCACACTCATTAGCATGTAAAATAACATTTGATGCGCGGGCCCTAGTCTTAAATTTGGTCGAGATCGGCTATCTTTTATAGAAATGTCATTTGTGGTGCGAAGAAATGGAGTTTATAGTTCATAGTTAGTCTGGGTTGTAGCCATAGAAGGGGCTGTAAGTGTCACTTACGTCCAGTTCATTTTGCTAATAATGCCAATTACACGTCCTTATTCAATAATAAAAAAAGTTAAGAATTTACTTGTGAATGTCAAGATAACAGTTTCGTGTGAACAAAGATGTCTCCAGCCAATATTTCAACAAAAATGACCTTTGAAACACTGTTGCGGTAACAGGTTTTCAAAAACCATAATTGCAATCCTCCTCAATCTTCTTCACTTTTGTCCTTCCATGCCTCTTTTATACTTGCTGTTTTATTTATACCTTCTTTCAATGTTTTGAGCGGTTATTTTTATACTTTCCGCAGTTTGGTGGCAGTTCCCACTGTTAGAATTTTGATAAATTTCGTGACACAGCTCCTTTAATTTTAAGATAAAAATCACGTTAGCGTGATTTTCGTATGACCTTGCCAGCAATCAGTAACACGTGAATTTACTTCAGACGCAAGCTGTTCAAAAGGTGGATAGCGCTATCCACCGGATAGATCTCTATCCATTGAATTGCCCAATTAGTTTTCGTAATACTTATCCAACGGATAGTGATTTATTGATCCTGTGGATATCCAGCTTTTAAACAACTGGGGCTAGGTCACATGTATGTGGCTTGAGGAAACAGTGAACACTCAACATCAGTAACGCATATAACCCAAGACTTTGGCAGGATTTAATTCTAAACATTACGTCCTAGATTTGATACATTGATGCTTGCATGCAGTACGACTGTGTTGAACAACTAGGGAAATTTCTTTCCTTTTCACGCTATTTTGTATATATTTTATGGGCAAAGTGGGTAATTTTATTCCAGGCCCCAGTTGTCCAAAAGCTGGATAGTACAATCCACCGGATAAATCACTATCCAGTGGATGGGTATTAGAGAAACCAATTGCACTTATCCACCAAACAGAGATTTATCCCGTGGATAGCATTATCCACCTTTTGTACAGTTGGGGCCAGGTGTTCTACCCCCAAACTACCACAAACGCTAGCAAAGGTAACACGTAACAGTACCCTGATGACTGATTAAGCGTCGCGGCGCTTATTTCAACTGCGGGTAAAACAGTATTTATAAGTACAAACATATTGGTACAAACCAGAGGCCGACGGTGCGCTCATTTTACCCCCTTCTCTCCAATAGTGCTCCGTTTTACGGGTATTAAAGGTACTAAAGCTACACGGAACATCGGGCTCAGTATCTCCCTCACAGGAGGTCGCTGTTCACTAACTGGCTGTGCTTGTCCTTGCTCTTGTGCACATTAACATCTAGATATATATCCATGAACCTGTAAACGTTACTGTAACTGAAGACTCTGCAAGTCAGAGAAAGCATATGTAACATGATGTACTGCTATCTGCTAAAAAGATGTCCAATTAGACATAAAATCCTTTGCTTTGGAACCGTTTTTTGTTGTTGTCAGCGGTTAATTCGAAGTCTTCCTTTTGGTAACGTGCCTAATAGTCCAGTCAAATTGTGGTTTAGCATCAAAGTAATTGCAACAGAATTTTTTCAACGCCATTTAATTGTTGGATGGCTATTTAACAACATACTAAAACTCCGCCAAAATCGTTTCGGTGCAATATGAGAAAAATTTACAATAAAGATTTTCAACTTTCACCACAGGAAACCCAATTTTAGGAAGATCACAAATTCAGACAAAACATCCGATAATTGTGTTCTTTTTTTCTCAAGAATTTTCGATAGAACATCGCTAACGTATTTTGGGTAGTTTTGTTTTAAAAAACGCCTACTAAATGTGTGAGAAACACGTGGTTTAGTGTTTCGTCTTGAGGGCTTTGCACAGGTTACCCAGCCATTCGTTTGTCTTCACATTCTGTTTTCCAAGCTTTGATTTTTTTCTATGGCGGCATTGAAAAGGGAAATTATTAGTCTGTCTGTGTTAACATGGTTAAAAATATTAGTTTTTGTTTTTTGGGAGCAATGTTAGAAATGCAGTAAGCATTTTAGCAGTTTTCCAGGCTTGTGATATTTTGTCCTCCTTCTGTCAGCTACTAAATTTGAATCCATGCCGCAAGATACGTGTGACTTAATGTTTGCAACGGACGATAACTTTGTATCAGTACAAACTTTTTAACCTATTCCCATTTTCTGTAATCGAGTTTTGTGAGGTAAACATGTTCAAACCTTGGACAATTTGTGTGATGGAAATCAGGGATTCTTTTTTTTTTTTCTCGCGACATGCGCAACCTCTTTTAGGATTATGACTCTGTACTTTACAATGTGAGCGAATAAATATTTTGCTAAGGACTCCCCTATCTGGTTTTACGTCGTAATGCTCTGCGCTTTTCATTACACATGGCCGAATCTGTTGTAAGGGAAATCCAGGAAACCAAGCAAAGTGTGATTGTTTCGTTTTTTTAATTCTTCTTCTTGGAGGGAGTCTCAGATTTAGTTTAGTGTATCTGTGTGTTCAGTTTGTATTTTCTGCGGCAGCCCTAAAATCCAGGTAAGATGAGTAAGTAGATTAATCGATCTGTGGCTTAAAGGCGTTTATATTTCCTCCTTGCATTTTTCTTTTGTGGGAACAACCCTGAACCTTGACCAGTGACAAATGAAGACCTCTTTTTCTAACGATCATGGGATCCTATACGTCTGAAAATAACTGCAGTGGTCAATGAAGGCGCGAAAGTACTGGACATATGTACAACTTTAATGGGCTTGCCTGACTTAGCTTCTGATGGCTCACCTCTTTTTGTGGAACCAATGTTTCTCCTCGGATGAGCGTCGTATAACACTTCGACTTACTGCATGTTAACCTTCTGTCTCAGTTGGGTGAATTATGCTCTGCGTGGGCAATTTCCATTACTCCATAGACTTTTACAAGATATTTTTACATACGCATTGTTTTGCAATTGGCTACTCAGAGTTTGTCTTCCTTAACAAGCGACTTCCCTGTTATACTATTTCGTTTTCTTGAAACAAACGTTTGCTGGAACCCAAGTTCTTATGCGATGAATGTTCCGTTAACGTTAAGTTCATAATTTTTTTGCGAAGGTAACAACACTTTTCCTTAAATTCATAGGCATTGGAGCTTAACCTGCTCAAAAACTCTGCATTGTTGTGCATCGTAAATGATTAGCTAAACTATCCTCCCCTCCTCTCCATTCACTTTTAACAAGAAGAAAAACAAAAAGCTTCAAAAAAGTGAAACTTGTGTATTTGAGGATGACGGTACGTTAACGAAAATTTATGTATAGGTAATCGTAAAAGCCAAAGCATTATCTAGCTGGATTTTTAAGAACGTACCGAACGGAAATTGCAGTCTTTTGACTGAGAAAAAGACCAAAGGCAAAATGAGCCCAAAAATCCTCCTAGAAAAGAACAAGGAAAGGGAAAATAGAGTGAGCGAAGAGAAAGAAAGGAGGAGAAGCAAAAAAACAAAACAAAACAAAACAAAAAAACAATGGCTGCACTCCTAGTTTTTATGTTGACTTGTGTTTGAGGGGAGAGCTCTATTTTGGCTTTAACGTTATTCAAAAATCCAGCTCTGATATATATTTTTCTTACCCTTGTGCCTACCAGAAATCTGATTTAAAAAGGATATATTTTAAAATCTAATGATTAAGTAACGGCTTTTATTTTTCAGATTTGAAGCCTTGCGACTAAACTTGTTGTAGTTTTCTATTAATCTGTAAGCCTCCTGTTATTTTGGGGTTCCCTGAGCGAAGCATGGGCTTCCTGTGTAAAAGCCGACCCTGTTAAATATTTATCCTTTTTGAAAAAAAGAAGCACGTCGTTTTCATCGCCGAAAACTAGGTAGCAGTTATTCTTTCTTCTCTCACTTTTCCATAAAAGTAACAAAAACATTTTGTACATTTTTTGTTTGGAAGTTTAATTTCAACTAACGTGGGTGCCCTGTATTAAAAGCTAAAAATGTTTAACCCTTAATTTTGATATGTTCCACAGAACTGATTTTGGCGGATTTTTAGTATGTTGCTAGATAGGCCGCCCTTACTCAAATGGCGTTGAAAACAATTCTGTTGCAATTAGTTTGATGTTGAGCCTCAAAAATGCCTAGATTGACTAGACTATAGCGAGATAGTTGTCTTAGTGACTAACTTTCTGTTTATTGTTTTCAAGAAAACACCAGCGGAATTAGAGAACCTGGACCGAGAACACACCAAACTACAACAAAAACACGACGCCGCCAAGGCACGCAACAAGGTGCTGACCTGTGAATTGAAGGGGCTCACTATTTATAAAGTCTTGTGACATTTCTTCCAGAGAGAGCAACAACAGCTTAAAAGTCAGGCTGCTAGAAGAAAGGCAACCACCCCACCGCCACCCCCTAGGGGAACGTCACAGAACAAGGCGCAGATGGAACATCTAAAACAAGTGTGCCAAGAAAGGGACCTACGAATACAGCAGTTGGAGAAAGAACTGGGTCACGCCAGGCTTGAACTTAAAAACACTACAGAAAAATACAAAGAATTATCTGAGCGCGAGACTAAATCTGTGGCTTGCTGCACTGAAGATTTAACAACGAACGAGGAAAGAGTAGAACAGAATGGACCTAGTTACGGTTGTGCTGGTGTTAATACTCAAGGTGCAAGAACTGTCCCAGGTTACGGTTTTGTTAATAGTTCTGTAGAAGGTCCATTGCTTAAGGGACCTTACCCACAGGGTGCTGAGGACTTAGGGGCTCAAAACAATGGTTTCATACCGTCAAGGAAATATGTGCCCCCTGAGGGATCAAGTAGAAACCAAATTGGATCCGTGCCAGGTAGTCCGGCCAGGCGGCATGTGATGTCCACGGGAAGTGTGCAAGGTACATCGGGGAAGGGATCTGCACAGGAATACCAGCTCCCCCCTACACCACCCAGTGGTGGACGTGGAAGCAGAGGTCGCAGGAATAGTGCAGGAGGCAGGTACGTATGAATGTTATTCCTCGTGGTGGAGAATTTGCGAAAAGAAAATCGAGGGTGTATATAGTGAATGTGACCGACTAATCCCTCCTTCCTTTTCCCACTTTCTTGCTCCCGTTTGACGCCTGCCACTCTGGCTAAACAAGAGAAGACTTGCCTGCGTTGCAGCCCGACCTTTCACTAGTCCGAGACCTAGATAGAGAAACCGATAAAGTCTATATTGGCCGCATTGCGGACAGAAGTCGATATAAATTTGGAGGCAAACTGGCTTTGTCTATGCGATTTGGTACATTTTTATGACGAAAGCAAAACAAGATAAGATGAAATGTTTGTTTTAACTTTACTCTTTTAATTTTTAATCTAAATCATAGAGAAATCTGGTGACCAAAGTGGCGACTAAACCAGAACGTTTACTCGCCAAGGAGAAAATGTTAGTGGTATTGGCGACCGTATCAGTCGCAATCTCGTGCCCTGTTGGGGATTCAGACTGTCTGCGACGCAGGCTACAAAAGGGAGAAGTGTTCAGAAAAAGCTTGGTTCTTTTTAGTACTTATACTAAATAACACAAAGTATTTAGTTCAAGCCAATGACCAGCACGCCCGCCCTCCGAACCTTTAACTATCTAGGTTAACTATCTAAACGTGGCACGAACGAGATCACGTAGTCATCTAGGTACGGAACTCGCGCCGGTACCAAGCGCGAGTTTTCGCCTTAAAGCACGCCCCCGCAGACGTTTGTATGATGGGGGAAACGAATTTGCCCCCCTCCACCATCCCGTGTCCTTTACAAACGGCTCTGTATTGTGGAAATTTAGCGAATTTGCTGAACCATACCTTATTTAGTTTGACATTCCACTATTTCTATATATCACTATTAATCTTGGCAACTTCACTGATTGTAAGAGGCTCTCTTCAGGAGTGTCGATGTTTTTTCGCTGAAAAAAATAAAAAAACAAAAACAAAAACAGACTAATGGAAGACCTCTGCTAAAACAGACGTAACCAGGCTATCAAGATACACGGCTTTAGTGTAAAACCATGGACTGGTTTTTTGTTGTTTTCATTTGTTTACAGAGACGAAGTTCAGTTGTTAAGATCCCAAGTACAGGAGAGTAAGTCTCTATGCCAGGCAGCTGAATTTGAGAGAGATCGGCTGTTAGAACTAGTGTCGCTTCTGCAGAAAAGGTAAGGTCTCTATGGTAAATTATCTGGAACGCTGGTGTTTGTGTATTTGTTTGGAGCCAACAATGATATTAACAGGTTGTCTTTTGGGGAAATGGGCGAGACAGCTACGTTTTAATGGTCAGTTTAGGTTCTGCTTGAGAGTGCATGGGTGTTGTGTCGAATTTCACAATGAGCTACAATGGGAGTGTTTTGGTGATGCAATCGTTTCCTTCGTTGGTTTGTGCGAAGTTGGATAGGAAAACTGAGGCCAAGTTCCTCCCCTAAATCACTTCCATGGCGCAATTCGATAGAACACCGACATAGTCTCAAGCGCAGTCTCAGAATAAACTCCTGCCGCCGCCGTATTGGAAAACCAGAGGACTTTGAGGAAGAGGTTGACCCAGTCAACCAAGCTGAACTTGAAAGAATTAGTCATTCACCATTCCAGATACTATATCAGACATGGGTACAAGCTTTCGGCTCAACAGTTAACAAGCGTTGGTTATGATTGGTTAATGGTTGCCTTCAATACCATCGACCAATCATAACTAACGCTTTTCCACCCAAATGATCCCAAAAATCGTTGCGCCTAAAGCCTTTACCCATTCCTCTTACGGTGTGTGAAGTGGGGAACTCATCACGTTTTGATCAGTTATCACCTTTGATCTGCAAAGAGGAAAAAAAAGCGGCGAGAGAGCTTTAGATTCGAGGACGACTACGAGTACGAGATTTTCTCGATACTTAGTACTGCTCTCACGCGTCAACCATCTTTATTTTGGCTGGAAAACATGATAGCCGTGGTCAGACAGGGCTTAACCTCCTTCACTATAAATAACCCTATTAACTTTTTTGATAAAAAAAAAGGTTAAATGAAGCTTTCTGGGGTGTCTTTTTTAAGACCACGTACAAAACCTTTAAGTTAAATCTCGTACTCGTTTTCGTCCTCTAATCTAAAGAATGCCAGGTCGTGGGCTCGATCCACGGGAGCAGGCCCATTTTCACGGTCTTAAAATGACTAGGGAAGAAGCTTCCACCTTTACCCACGTAAGATTTCACCTCCTAACTTGCTTTCCGTACGATTTTATTCCGTAGAGTTGATGAGGCTAAAAACATGGAGATGGAAGCAAGCAACAAGTGGCAGCAAGAAAGACGTCAAGTGGCTCACTTGGAGAAACAGCTGAGTAAATTGCAGTCAGGACAGGGCGTGGTCAAGGGGAAAGGGAAGGGGTACGAAACAGGAGGTACAGTACAAGAGCGACAAGCAAAGATGGAAGACTTGGAAGAGCTGTCAACCAGGTAAACAGAAGTGAAACCTGTAATAACTTCTATTCAAGACTTGTAAGTCTATTTTTTTTGGTCACGCGAGCTTTTAAAGCAAGAATTGGGTGCAGTGAAGTGGCACCAACACGAGAAAAAAACTCGACACCGTCGGCACTTTTTTCATTTCTATCATAGTCGTCCGTCTCTTTGCGCCAGGGAATATGCCATTGTTAAATTCTGTTCTTTTTTGTCACAAGTTATCTTTGGTCTTTAAAAGCAGTGTTATGAGAAACAGATTCCAGTGTCTCCTTCAGTGAGGGATAGTTCTTCGTTTTCAGCGAAATATCTTTGTCATTGACTACGTAGCAAGCGGAAGTTGGGACGTGAGCACAAAAAAAAAAAAGGAAGAGGAGGGGGGGACTTAACCATAACGTTTTCTCCCCTCCCCCTTTATTCCTCTTTATTTGCTCTCGTCCTAACTTTCTCAACGAACCCGCTCGGAAACGCTTGCTACTCAGGCTATCGTTATCAGAGACCTCTACACCAATAATAAAAGTATCCTAATAAAATTTAGATCTGTTAAATGCAGATCTGTCCTTCTCAAATCTTCGATAGAACTGTACCCTATCCGTATGTGTGTATTCTGCCTACAGGCAGGTCCTTCCTTATAGTTCTCGACCTAAGGCGCGCCTTTTGACCGCTACGTAAGGGCTGCCATCCCTTACTCTATCCAGCATTCCCGCTCGAGGTCTTCCAGGTGGTCTCTTTTCTATTATTCTGCCCTCAGTTACTAATGGGACAAGATCGCCATGCCGTAGGGTATGACCAAGCCAGACTCTTTGTCTTCTGTTGATAACAGATAAGATGGCCCTCTCTTCACCGTCACGCCTCAATACTTCTTCGTTACAGACGTTGCCAGACCAAGTAATATTTAAGACCTTTCCCCAAAACCACATCTCACAGCTCTCCAGCCTTCGCTCATCAAATATAAAATGCAATCTCAGAGACTAACCTCTTTTCATTTTCTTCATAAATAAATAATACGTTTTCTAATATCTTTACCAGACTCGCCATTCAAACAGACGAAAACGACGCACTAAAGGAAGTTCTTAACTCCACTTTGAAAGCGAAAGAAGAAGACTTGAAATTTTACCAGGAGATGATGGATCAAACTAAAAAGATTTTTCTTCAAGGCCTCAGACAGTTTAGACAGAACTCAGCACCCAGCTAGGTGGCGAATAATTTTGTATAGTGCGCCACATAATCAATATTATTTATTTTTTATAATAAACCGTTATTATTTGAACAGTGGTTTTGTATTGTATTTTCTTCTATAGTGATCACTCTAATTGTTGACACCCTTAAATTAAACACGGTTGTGAATGGTAATTTTGTCAAGAAGGCTTAAGTTAGATTTAAGTCAGAATAGAAAGGATGTAATATCCTTGTTAGGTAATTGCTACCTCTCAGATTAATATATTCCAGATGCTAAAATTGAATCATCCTCCACAACAAAAAGAAATCTTCGTAAAAACTGTATGATTTGTGTTGATAATTCCGGTCTCTAAAAACACGGCACCTAAAACAAGTTCGGTTACTTTCACGTATATCGAACAAACTGCAAATGTCATTGAAATATAAGGCGTTCGTTTTTACGTATAGGTTTCTTAATACATATACATGTAAAAGGAAATGTAATGAAGCCAAGATGCGCCTATATTAAGGCAGACTGGTGAAATCAATGCGGCCTCCCGTACTGCCTTATTTGCATAATTACGTCAATCCGTCTGGTTTCTCGGAAAGCTATTGTCGTGGAACTGCAAAAGAGCTTGCTGGAAATTTTTAACGTTTCTTGGAAACCGTCGAGTGTTTGTTTTTGTTTTTAGTCAAGTCTTGGGTTTACTTCTTTCGTTGGTTATGACGGAAAGTAACTGATTCGATTGAAGGTAAAGGTAAAAATAATATAGTTATATCTGACCATATCTGGTGTATTTTAAACAAGGTCTAAGCGTTTTTGTTTTTACTTCTTATTAAAATTTGTTATTCATTGCTTAACAATCTGTGATAGCTTTAGCTGCCAATAGCAAACGCCAATTCGCGAGGGTAAAGCTCGACCTTTGATATCCAAATTTTGTTAATCGTAATGAAAACTGAGATGGCAAAATAAATAAACAATATTTTGAAAAAGCGGGAGGATAAGAAGCTAGAACTTTCGAACGCTCAAGTTGTAGCTAAAAGGATGATGGGAATTGTGGGGTTTTCCAAGAAATCGTCTTTGGTCATGTGACATCGCGTGATTCTTGAGTTTCTCGGAAAAGGTTCTTTAACATTATGGACTCATTCTTGACGAACTTTGCGAGTTTTACATTGATATAACCAGGGAAAGTATTGTTCTTAGTAACGGACCGCAAAGGTAAGGTTGTATTGTCATTGTGACGCTTAAAAAAGGAGTAAAATTTATGATAACTTGTCACTTTTTCAGTGATTCGTTTCCCGAGAACTTGAGCGGGACCGGACCGGACTCTCAGAGCCGGCGTGGTTTGCAGTTTGCCGAACAATTCATGCAGATGTAGTCTCGGTCTTCATCAACATCTTATCCCCAGTTATTTCGAATTCATGTAGGGACGAAAAATTAAGGTCTTGATTAAGCGATTTTTGAAATAGCAAAATACCTCGTCGCTCAACTAACTTCCGTGCCGACATCAGTGCAAGAAATGGCAGCTGGTTATTATTGTTTTTTCTTTCTTTCTAATTTTGTACGTGAATCTAATTCCTTCGAGAGCATCGTATTAAAATTCAGTGACGGCGCTATTCTTGTGGTTGCGTTTGGAACTTTAGGCCAATGTTAATGTCGCACGCTGGAATCTTTGCTGATAAATTTTGAAACACAACATGGCTTACAATTACGGCCATTTATACGAGGAAAAATAAGACGCGTCTTAAGTAAGACGCGAACTTTCCGTATAAACGATACACTTCGTCTAAAATAAGACGCGGCTTAGCTAAGACGCGTATTAGATAAGACATGCTCCTATAAATGGTACAGTTCGCGTATTATTTAAGACGCGTCTTATGTAAGACGCGTCTTATTTTTCCTCGTATAAATGGCCCTAATATTATCATGCTGGCTCTTGAATGCTGATTCCAACATTGTTTCCACATGAAAATGTTGGCAGTATCATACGTTTTCAACTTTCTCTCTACTCTGGCAAAAACGTTGTTTAATACCAAAAACTAATAAATATTAACACCACCGGTCAACTGTTGAGTAGGCGTCCAACTAACAATTCCTCCACACATTCCGTTCAAAACCAAGTTAGAGCCGGTATTACGTAACTCCATATGAGCTAAAAAACCTAGTTGTAGCGATTTACAATACATTTCGATTTTTTCCGAGCCTAATGATCAAATCCTTCATGGCTATCATTTATGTGTTATTCTTTGTTCGTGCAAAACAATAACGCTTTATTTTATCAACTGTCTTTCAGATCAATTATGAAGCGATTTTACTCAGTTGAAGGTTGATTTTGTCTCGCATAATGAGTAAGTAGTACAGTGATTATTGTTCAGTATCTGTCCATAAAGTCTTCTACATGCCTTAGATCGAAACCCACCAGCCATGAGCATAGTTCGTGAAACACCAATCACCAACAACCACGATACCCGATAACCCGATACTAACGAAATCGTCGCTATCAATATCTGAGGGGCAGTCATGAGACAAACAATAAATGAAATCCATTGCACACATTAACCCCGATGAAGAATATCTTTTATGACAAGTTTTACACAGTTTGTAGATACTTGGTGAATCTTAACACATTGTGATGGATAAATCTTTCACTCCATGTTCTTAATTTTCGGTTGTTATTATTTTTTTGAATGATCTGTTTTATCTTTATCGATTTTTCTTTACTTCACGTTTCTCTTTTTTGCTTTTGATCCTTTGTGTTCCTTTGCTTTGTTTTAATTTGCTTTCATGCCTTTGTTATGCATGTTTTCTGTTCCCTTTCTTCCATTTCCTTTTGTTCCTTTTCCTTTCCTTACTTTTCCTTTTCTTTCCTTTGTTCATACATTTCCTTCCTTTTCTTTGTTCCATTTCTTTTCCTCCCCTTCCATTTCTCTTCCCTTCCTTTTCTTTTCTTTCTTTGCTTTTGCATACTTTCCTTTCCTTTCTTACCATTTCCCTCCTTCCTCTTCCTTTGTATTGCTTTCTTTCCTTTCCCTTCCTTCCATTTCTTTCCATTTCCTTCCCTCTCCCTACCTTCCATTTCCTATCCTTTCCTATCCCTTTCATTTCATTTTCTTTGCTTTTCTTTCTTCTACTTCCCACCCATCCCCTTTTATTCCTTTTAATATGCTACTATGTTACTCCTTGCTGATCTGACCCTAACCTATCCTAACATTTCCTTACCTAAGTATAGAAAACTATGAAACCAGCTGTATTCCAAAACTCTCTTATCCCGACCCCAACCCATAATTTTCCTGGACCACTTCTATTCTACTCTATTCCATCTTACACTTTATTTGATCCCATCCTACTCTGCTCATTCTAAATAAACACATTGAAATCTACAAAGCTGACAGTTGTTTTGTCATTATTGTGGCTCATGAGAACAGCACAACATTACAAATCCCCTTCAACATCCTACTTCTCCTATCTATTCCCATCCTTTTGACCTCTTTAGCTTGTATGCTTTGTTTTTCCAATACAGTTCATGTGATAATACTCTACAAAACTGTTTCTTTCAAATTCTGGCTTATTTATACATATATCCACACATAATTTATGAAAAGACAAAGGGCCAAGTTCCCCTTGGACCTCTATTCCATACCCTTCTATATCATCCCTACCCATCACCCCTCCTATTTCATTCCCTGCTTCTCTTTTTTATTCTTAACCCTTTTCATCCTCTCTCATCCCATCTGATTCTAGTCTAATCCTTGTCTGTCTCTCTGTCATGCCAATGCACCCCACCCCAAGCTACAACATCTCTCATCCCATCTGATCCTTGTCTGATCCTTGTCTGTCCATCATGCCAATGCACCCCACCCCAAGCTACAACCTGTCTCATCACATCTGATCCTTGTCTGATCCTTGTCTGTCCATCATACCAATGCACCCCATCCCAAGCTACAACCTGTCTCATCCCATCTGATCCTTGTCTGATCCTTGTCTGTCCATCATACCAATGCACCCCATCCCAAGCTACAACCTCTCTCATCCCATCTGATCCTTGTCTATCCATCATGCCAATGCACCCTATCCCAAGCTACAACCTCTCTCATCCCATCTGATCCTTGTCTATCCGTCATGCCAATGCACCCTATCCCAAGCTACAACCTCTCTCATCCCATCTGATCCTTGTCTATCCGTCATGCCAATGCACCCTATCCCAAGCTACAACCTCTCTCATCCCGTCTGATCCTTGTCTATCCGTCATGCCAATGCACCCCATCCCAAGCTACAACCTCTCTCATCCCGTCTTATCCTTGTCTGATCCTTGTCTGTCCGTCATTCCAATGCACTCCATTCCAAGCTACAACATCTCTCATCCCATCTTATGGTCATCACCATCATCATCATTGTTCTCCTCCTCATAATTGACCGATGCCTTTCTTAACCAAAGATTCAAATCTGGAAAGCTGTAAGTGTAATAAGCATTTTGTCATAACTGGGACAAGAGGGATAAGGATAGGAAAAGTAGTTGGTGCCTGTGGTAACAACATTTCAAGTAATTAATAACTCTACTTATTCTAGCCAAAAAGCCGATATAATAAGTTACTAATGAAGGTTTTTCCTCAGGTTTTAATTTGATTCAGCCATCGCTGATTCAGCAGTTGAAAAAAATCTTAGACCAGTACCCAGATGATGGACAGATTCTAAAGGTGAGGCAAAGGTTATTAAGAGGTTTTAATCTCAACTCATCAGCCACCAGCTTGACATGAAAGATTACTTAACATAACAATCATGCCTTCTCCCAAAGAGGTTGAATTGTGAAACATTTGGTAGCAAACCTCTTTCACGTCATGATGACAGATCGAGTAGATGTTAGTTTTTTTTATAGCGGGGGCGCGGTTGGTCTCTTGTGAAAGAAAAAATGTATCAGATGTTCGTTTTTTCCCCTCTTCTCCAAAAAATCAAAACCGCGTGATGGTAGGTTCGAAAGTAAGTTGTCTTTTGTTGTAACGTAAATTAATTCCGCTACATCTTTAAATGTATTTAAAAACATCTAATGAACACTTGGTTGGGTTTATTCGTATCAGGAGCTCATTCAAAATGCGGAAGATGCTGGTGCAAGTCAAGTTAAATTTCTGCATGACCGACACAGCTATGGAAAAGAGAAACTACACAGTAACGAACTTGCTAAGTTTCAGGTCAGTCTACTGCCTACCTACCAATGTACTTTAAAATCAGTTAATAAATAAGAGAATTTATCAATTAGTATTAATGTGTAACGGTTTCATAAGAGCCCTGGCCCTATTTGACAACGTTATTTAAAGCCAAAGACGTCATATAAGGGAATTCTAATAAGGCAAAAAAAAAATTCAAAAATGCTTTTTGAGTGCAGTTTATGTACTTATTTCACGTCTAAATAAGAGAAATGTTTAACGCACGACTACCCGCAAGCGCCTTTAAAGAGTAACCTTTGTTATGGGAAGAAATAGCAGCTCGATGCATGAAGTTTTCGAGTAAATGCGATTTATTTAGTCGAAGTCTTCACTCTAGCTTGCGAATGCGTGTTTGCAAGCAAATTATCATTCCGTTTGCCTTTTATTTTCGACTGCTTGAAAACATGGTGCAGCAAAACGAACGACTCCATTGTTCTCTCAGTTACAGAACTGTTGCTATTTTTAAATCAGCTATCTAACTGTAAATCCAATATTCTTAACAGGGGCCAGCACTTTATGCTTACAACAACGCCGAGTTTAAGCCCAGTGATTGGGAAGGCATCAGAATGCTTTGTGAGAGCAAAAAGGTCAAGGATCCAATGAAAGTGGGTCGTTTTGGCCTGGGCTTCAAGTCGGTTTTCCATGTTACAGGTAGTTATTTCTTTCTTTTAATAGAAAAACTAGCCACCACGAAACATGCATTAATTTCAATTTATACACCAATACATTCTAAAATGGCAAAGTCAGAAGCTACAATTTGACAATAATACAAGAATATTTTCAACCTAAAATCGGCAGAAAAATAAGAATATTTAGCCTGGCCCTTAAAAACAACATTTTTTTCTTTTCTTTTCTTTTCTTTTTTTTAAAGGGTACTTTTTTTCAATACACTACAATAGAATAGAACAAAATAGAATATTAGAATAATTCTTCATTTAAACACGGTAAAATTCATCAGGAGTATAAAAAAACTTTTTAATAAACTTAACTACCCTAAACAATATGCAAAACTGTCTACGACTAACCTAACTAAGACCTGTTTTTCATGAATGTGTCGTGTACACAGTACTTGAAAACTCAGCAATTCAGATGAGCCAATCGTTTAAATTGACCTCTCTCATATCACAGGGCAGGCTGTTACGGAGAACTGCTCCGCTATAACTGAAGCTGTTCTTCATGAAGTTAGTTCGTAGGAACGGGACAATAGGCAAGTTTCGTATTCCCAGACGGCCCTGGGACGAGCCCTTGTTTTGCGCGAAACCGAGGCTAATGCGGGTAACTTCTCACCGAGAAGACAAGCAAACATATGAAAACTGCGGCTGAGTTAGCGAGAAAAGCTAAATTTGAAACGTTAAAAGGTTTTGTGGGTCTCAAAACTCACTTACAGGATTGAGAAATCATTGTTTCAAACAGCAAAAAGGAAAATCAGCGAGCCATCACTAAGAAACATAACGAGCATAACCAGAAATTGATCAAAATAGTGGTCGGTTAGTGAGTTTAAGTAAGAATGCGAAGATGGTTTCAAAATCCTTAAACAAGGTTATACCCTGAAGACATTTTAATGTTTTTTTTTTTAAGTGATGGTTAAAACTTTTTTAAGCCGCACCTTCCATTGAAGTGTACGTACTTGTCGAAAGCCTGCAAGTTAAACTGAAACCTTCCTTTTAATTGACATTTTTTTTAACGGGGCGAATGCAAAATCTTATGTATTTGAAATAAATAAACCGACGGAGCAGACTTTTTTTCATAAATTCCTTGCACTGTAAGAAAATTAAATCGGTGTAAACGAAGATGATTAAAACCCGTATTAGTTTATTTATACATAAGCTTACATTTAGCTTACATTATTTATCAAAATATTCAGTCACATCAAGAAAAACGTACGCACCTTTCACTCGACAAGAACTTGAACACAGAGTTTTATACAAAAGATATACTGAGCAGTTTAAACTCCATTTTACAGATGTACACAAGAGTTAGATAGATTACTAAGAAGTAAGAAAATTAAAGGGAATAAAATATTGTCATTTTAACAAACTTTACCCTTGTCAAGTTTACTTCGTCTTTTGGCTTCGTCGCTTTTTTCTTTCTTCTGTTAAGTACGATCAGCTTTTCCCACAATTTTGTTGTTTGCAACAGATATCCCTTTGGCTTACTGGTAAAGTTTAAGCTTTGAAATCTGACTTTTTTGAGATTTCTATCATTTTCCAGCGACTCCGCGGCAAATTGCCCATGTTTGTTTTTGTTTTTGTAAAGATGTTGACCCGCATTAGCCTCGCAGTCGTGCTTGTCCCAGGGCCGTCGGCGAGTTCGGAACTTGCCTATTATTTTGTTAACAGAGTTCCCTAGGGAGAAGCGCGTTTCATATCGTTAACAAATTTAGAGGATAAATATCCTGGAACAAGATCATTTAAAGACTTGTAAACCATAAGGGCTTTTTGTATTTGAAACTGAGTGCTCAAGTCTTTCCATTTAAGTTGTCTAAATAAGCGTTTCGCATCAGCATCATATCTAGTAAAGGTTAGAACACGAGCAGCACGGTTCTGAAGCTTCTGTAGCCTGTCAAACAAAGTTTTTCCACAATTACCCCAGACAATATTACAATAATCGAACAGACATTGAACGAGAGCGTTGTATATACAATGGAGAGTAGGCGTTGGAACAAAATCTCTAATCCTTTTAATTGCTCCTATCCCGGAAGTGATTTTATTAGTTAATTTATCGATGTGCGTTTGCAACCGTAGATTTTCATCAATAAATATTCCAAGAGATTTTTCTGTCGGAACATTATCAGTCGAGAGTTCGGGTTGGCTCGACAAAGTACTCAATTTTTGTTTTGACCCAATTAGCATAAATTCAGTTTTAGCAGTGTTCAAAGTAAGTTTGTTGGAAATAAGCCATTTGTTTAGATTGCCTAAATCGTGATTCAGATTTAATGGTGTTGAATTCACATCAACAGCTGCATAAGTGATGTGTGTGTCATCAGCATACATTCTAGGCTGGCATGAAGTTAGGCAGTTTGGCAAATCGTTGATGTAAATAAGAAATAAAAGGGGACCAAGAATTGTTCCCTGAGGTACCCCGCCTTTTAGAGAACAGATGCTAGAAAGGGAACCATTAACGAGACATCGTTGTGTACGATTTGTCAAATACGATCTAGACCAATCGAGAGCAATTCCTTGTATTCCGTAAAGGTTCATTTTAGATAATAAGATATCATGATCAACAGTGTCAAATGCCTTTTTTAAATCGAGAAAAACCACAGCATTAACATTACCAGCTTAAAGGAGAGCAGTTACAGTTAAGAGAAAAAGAGCGAAAGCCCGATTGATGTGTAGAAATGATATCTTCATTGCTCAAAAAATTATACAATGTGGTCATAAACAATCCTTTCGAAAACTTTAGCTATAACGGAAATGACTGAAATAGGTCGATAATTATTTAGATCAGATGCCCCCCTTTGCTTAAACGACGGAGTAACCCTAGCACATTTCCAATCGTCTGGAAATATACCAGAGAGCAAAGATTTATTAAAGAGATCACAGAGAGAAATTGAAATCAGATCTGTAGAGATATTATCAAGACCTGTTGATTTGGATCTACATAACTTGTTTAGATGTGAGAAAGCAATACTACTGCTTGAAGAAGGAAAACTGAACTTGTTGTGATTTACATTTATATTATTGATATAACTTGAATCATGATTATTATTATCATTTGGTGGAATTTCATTGGCAAAGCGGGGCCCAGTTGTTGAAGAATGGTCATTAAAAGCATTAGAAAGCTCACTAGAATTAGAAATAATGGAACCGTTCAACCGTACAAGAGTAGCACATGCAATGCAAATGACAATAGCGTTTAATACTGATTAAAATAGGTTCACTTTTTTGATGTTATGCTTGCTTAAGTAACAATACTTCATCTCTAGTTGATACTCATATCACATTCTTACTTAACCACAGATCTACCAAGCATCATGAGCACCTCGCAGATCGGCGTAATTGATCCACAAGAGAAATGCTTTGGAGAAAGACGAACTGGAAACAGCTGGGACATAAGGAATGACCGTGACATCATGAACGCCATATCAGACCAGTTTGCGCCTTACAGGGGAGTATTTGACTTCCCAGAGGACATTTTCACCAGAGGCTCATACACGGGTACTCTTTTCCGCTTTCCACTACGAACTGAGCCGTCCAGGTTATCAGAGACTTTGTATTCTGCCGAAAAGGTTAACGATTTGTTCAATGGCTTCATGGCTGATGCCCACTTGGTTCTACTGTTCATGCAACATCTTGAAAGTATTGAACTGTACGCTCGTGACGAGTTAGAAAGCAAACCCAGAAGAATGTTTCAAGTCAGAATATCCGAGGCAAGCCTTCCGTTGGTACGAGAAAGGAGAAGGAAGTTTCAAGAAACAGTACCTAGCGGTCAGCTTTTACCCCACTCAGTCCACGTCACTTATCCAATTACGATTGAGGCAGTACAGTATTGCCAAGGGGTAGAAGCAGGCAAATTCAGTCATTCCTTCCTTGTAACCAACTACGTTTGTGGCGGAAAGATATCGTCTGAATTTCAAGCGCTTGTTGTTGATACAAGCCTCAGCTACTTACCCTTAGTTGGCATTGCCATGGCATTGCCCTCAAGCCCCCAGGATTCCGTCCCAGAAATTCAAGGTCACGTGTTTTGTGTCTTGCCGTTACCGGTGCAAAAGACCAGTCTAACAGGTTTGCCTGTTCATGTGAATGGCTTCTTTGCCCTGACTCAGAATAGAGGTCATATCAAGTTTCCAACCGCAGAACAGGAAGGTCACGCTTTAACTGATAAATCCTTAAAATGGAATAAGTGTCTTTTAGAGGAGGCCATACCCCAAGCCTATGCCACGATGATTTTAGAAGCTATCAACGACAAGAGCTTCAATGTGCAAGCAGCGACAGTTTACCAGTAAGTAACAACTGTAAAATACTGCAAAGCTGGGAAGTATATTCTGCGAGCATAATTCCCCGTGATTGCTATCCTTTTGCGGACCAAGTAGCCTCTTCTGTTTGTAACATATAAATGGAAACACCCATTTTAAAAGGCAAACATGATGAAACGTTAGCACATCATCCATGAAACTGTATTCTACATAAGTTGGAAAAGTAATTGCTCCCCGACCTCTAAGTAGTACTAAGCTAACGTTTTAATATTATCACTACAATTGTTAAAAACGTTAAAATATCTTAAACAATTATCGAAGAGCTTTGGCCATATATTCCCTGCGATCCTAGTGATCAAATGCACACTAGCCTTAAGGAGAGCAATTGAAGCGACATTCATTATGCTGCCTCCAAAGAAATTGAATTGGCCTTTGTCATTGCTCTTATTACCTCAACGGCTTTGATTTATCATTCATTTGAACTATGATGACTCATTTGCTTTGTTACAGAGCGTGGCCAGAGATCACACGAGTCAACCAGAAATGGAAGAGCGTTGTTGAATCATTGTTTGATATTCTGTCAGACAAGGAAATTATCTACAGCAAAGTCAATCGGGGGCAATGGCTTCTTGTTAAAGATGCAATTTTCAACCAGGTACCTGAAAGACATCTTAAAGAGCTACTTGAAAGTGTCTTGATTGGAGCGAATGTCCCAGTTGTCTCTGTACCTAGCCACGTGATGGATGCCATCAAGTCTTTTACTGATGCTAAGAAAATCACCCCTAGTGTCACGAGAAAGGAATTGAAGAAATCTGCAGCTTGCTATAAAAACCTTATGAGGCATGAAAAGCTGCGGCTTCTTCAGTTCTGTTTACAAGATGACCAATATGAAGACCTTTGCGGCCTGGAGCTTTTGCCTCTCTCCAATGGCACATTTACCACCTTTTCAGCGCTTGCCCACGAAATCTACATCAGCTCCCATGAGCATTCTCAAGATCTTCTACCTGGCCTAGAGCACCGCTTCTTGGATCAAAAGTTGGATTCGGACATCCTTCAAGAGCTGAGTTGCGCAGCCAGACAAGGTAACACTGCTTGGAGACTCCTCTTTATTGGCCAAACCGAAGTATAACCGTTCCATTTAATGAGGGAAAGTTTTTTCAGGATTTATCATTAGTGCAAAATTTCATGCCATCGTCATCAGTACCCCCTGCCGAAATTCTTGGCACAAATTTTCTGGTTTTGAATATGATTTAAGAATACTTAGGCTTGTTGAACGTGGTGCTATTGCCGTGCCGAACTAAATTTATAGAATTAAATTCTACTTTAGCACGGCAAGCCTTGCTGTGCTACACGGCTGTAGCTCGACTTGGCTTCAGACGTCGTCCTACCGCCGTGCCGAACTCAGTACATAAATTATAAATACATAAGAATACATTTAAAAGTTTGCCAAACCGTTTCTTTATTTTTGTGTTTTGTTTTCGGCAACTGCCGTTGAATTCGACTGACTTAAATTTGACATCTGAAACCAAGTCGTGCAAGTGTCGTGCTGCAGTCGAGCCACCTTAGCACGGCAGTAGCACGACGTTTGAAACTGGCCTTAGTTATCCGTTTGTGACTCCTTTTTATCCTGTTAAGCAATGTAGAAATTTGACCATTTACATTTGGAAATGGTTAGTCTCCTTGATAACTGTACTAGCCTATAGTCCAGATGATTGATCCAATGTCTACCAAGCTATCAGCACCAATTTGGTTGTTAACAACGCCATGATATTATCTTTTAGTTGGGTTTTTGTTTTGTTTTTTTGTTAATATCCTTCCTTCAAATAATCCAGAGTCTATGTCAGTGTTAATAACTATCTTACATCAAAAGAAGTACCTGAAAACAGTAGACAATTTTGACAGCGACAGGCGCTTCCTCTTTACGCTAATGATTTACTTTCATAGAATGCACCCAGCTACGACTTCTCTCCGAGAACGACGTGGTAGTTCTTCTTAAAGAATCCCTCCCTTCCGACTGGAGTCAAGGAAAAACTGTTCTGTGGCACCCAGAAGACAAAAACCACAACCATCCCCCAAGAGACTGGATCGAGCTCATTTGGAGATACGTTCGCGACCATTTCCCTACTAGGGAGAGGCTGCACCTACTTCAGAACTTTTCCTTAATTCCAGTCAGCATGGAACAGACAGCTGTTACTTTGAAGCCACTTGCTCAGCCTTCCACAGTCGTGATTAAAAGCCTGGGTGGGGACATCATTGATGATGCTCTGATACATGTCTTGACAAAGATGGGCGGGGTTGTCTTGACTGATTGTCCGGACTTTATACTTGATCACCCCTGTGTCTTGGATACCTTTGTGCATCGTCCTAATGTCCAAGGCATTTTCAAGACAATAGTGAAGTTAGCGTCCACGTTCACCGCTAAAAAGTTGTCCGAAGTCGTGAGAGGGCTTTCTCCCGGAGAGAAGCGAAGTTTGAGATCATTCCTTGCCAATATCAAACCAGTGCAACTAGGAAAAAAAGAGAGCAATCTCATATGCTCCCTGCCGATTTTTGAGACGTTCTCCAAAAGGTTTGTGTCCAAAAATGAAGGTCTGTCAGCAGCGCCTATCGAATCTCTTCCCATTCAACCACAACGAGAACTCATTGACATTTCTGATGAAGAATCTAGGAGTTTAGCTCTTCTTCTTAAAGTCCGGATTCTTAAACTAACAGAAGTACTTTGCGAAATAGTATTTCCTGACATTCAAAGCGGCAAGTATAATGGAGGGCAGATTGATAAGTTAATGTCCTATGTGCTCTCGAATTTTGCACACATCATTCGTTCTGATGCTCACTTCAAGCGTAATATACAAGCGTTGCCATTTCTGCCAAAGGCGAATCACAGAAAGCGAGTGAAGGGGTCGGATGTCTTTGATCCCAGAAATGAGAACCTTAGGAAATTATTTGCCAACGAAAATGTTTTTCCCGCCGGCCATTTGTACAACGACTCTATCGTCCTAAATGTTTTGGAAGAAGTTGGAATGAAGAGCGAAGCAGACGTCACTGCGAAAGACCTCGTGCAAAGCGCTAAAAACGTTAGCGTGCTTTCAGACCCTTCGAAAGCAAGAGAGAAGTCTCATGCAATTTTGCAACATCTTGACCGTCATCCGCAAAAACTTAAGAGCAAAATTGATGGCCAAGAGCTAGGATCGCTACTGATGAGAATCCAGTGGGTGCCAAACTTGAGCGAGAAAACATCAAACTTCCCACCTTCACTCCCATGGTTTAAAACAGGCGAAGAAGGAGGGAGACACTTTTTTAAGCCGTCTGAACTGAAGAGCCAGCAGGTGATCAATCTCATCGGATCTGTAAAACCTGTCATCACCTTTGAGCCGTCGAATGAAATTGCCGGTCATTTTGGCTGGCTTAAGAAACCAGAAGTCTTGGACGTTGCTGAGCATTTACAGAACGTAGTTAGGTGGTACACGGGTGATGAGAAGGCATACTACATGGTTTTAGTGAATGAAATTTATGCGTTTTTGAGCTGTGCAGACTATGCTGAGGTCACAGAGGTGTTAAGCAATTCGCATTTCGACTGGGTATGGAATGGAGATGGCTTTTCTTCACCAAGTCACGTACTTTCCAGTAAGCCAGCAATTGACTTAACACCTTTCGTTCGCCTTCTCCCTTCGGAAATGATGAAGCACTCGCAGTTGTTCACCCTTTTTGGTATGAGGACAAACAGCGATCCATCTCTTTTACTGCAAGTACTTGGCTTGATTAAAGAAAAGTATGACGGTAAAAATTCTCCTGTTCTTAACGCCTCAGAAGTACGACACGATCTCCAGTTATCAGTTGATATTTTGAACGAACTGGCAAGTGAGGAACTATCGCCAGAGCTTCAAAGAGAGATCCTTCTGCCTGTCCGTGTCGATGGAAACTTGTACGTCCGGCTTGAACCAGTCGAGCGCTGCATGTACACTGAACGAAAGGAATGGGTGCAGAGTGAAAGCGAAGACGGAGAGCAAAAATACTTATACGTACATCATAATGTACCAAACAACACTGCTGTACGTCTGGGTGTTCCATCGTTAACACATCGAATGTTAGACCCAGATGAGCTGTCCATTGGAGAAGAGTTTGGACAGGAGGAGAAGCTTACTACTCGATTAAATCGACTTCTAGATGACTACAAAGATGGCCTTGCAGTGCTAAAAGAGCTGGTACAAAACGCAGATGATGCTGGTGCCACTGAGGTTAAATTCCTGTACGATGAAAGAACCAACGAGGATGCTATGACCTGTCTCATTGACGATGGAATGAAAAAATGTCAAGGTGCTGCCCTCTGGGTGTACAACGATGCAACTTTCAAAAGTGAGGACTTTGTTAACATCACAAAACTTAATGAAGCAACCAAAGTGCATGACACCGCGAAGATTGGTAGGTTCGGACTTGGCTTCAATGCAGTGTACAACCTCACAGATGTGCCGATGTTTGTAAGTAAGAACTATTTTGTCATACTTGATCCTAACACATCTCACCTGGGAACTGCGATCAATAACAGAAAGCCAGGTATGAAGATTGATCTGAACAAAGATGTCAGAAAATTGCAGACCTTTAGAAATCAGTTCAAACCATTCAATGGCGTATTTGGCTGTGATTTAAGTCTTGACAAAGACGACTACTCGTACAATGGTACGCTGTTTAGATTTCCGTTGAGGACAAGAGAACAAGCAGCAGTCAGTGAGATCAGAGACAAGTGTTACGACGACCACGAAATGAGGAAACTGTTAGAAATGTTTATCGAGAAAGCAAACACGGTTCTTCTTTTTACGCAAAACGTATTCCGTGTTGGAATGTACTTTTTGCCAAGATCTTCAGGGCAGAATCTACAACCGTTGCTAATGTTTCAGGTCAACAAATCCCTCGCACAAGGAGGAATACTGAGAGAATTGTCTTTCCCCATCGCACTACCAAACACTTCGCACAAACTGACTGCAGACCAGAAGAAGTTGATGGTACAGTCTAATTTCCTTCAAGCATCATCCAAGTTTAAAAAACTTCCCGAGAGTAAAACAGCCAGACAAAGTGAATTCCCTGAATCATCCATTATAATTGATGTGGAATGCTTTTTAACCCAGTTTGGAGCTAGTTTTTTTCAAAAAGAGAAGCTCCCTGGAAGAAAACGAGAAAGCTGGTTGATCGTGTCCTCAATGGGGTGTGGAGAGTCAATGGAGTTTTCTGAAAGCGACCCTAGTCTTCTTCCGTCCGGAGGCGTAGCTGCTCAGTTATTTAGTTTGGACTGCAAGACCTTTCTGCCCACACCAGCAAAGAGTGGAACGGTTTTTTGCTATCTTCCACTCCCGATTCACAGTGGCCTGCCAGTTTGCATAAATGGTGCATTTGCAGTAGATTCTAATAGGCGTCGTTTGCAGGGCAAACTTGAAGACGACAAAATATGCTATGGCGAGGAATGGAATAATGTTCTAATGACTGATTCCATATCTACTGCTTATCTGTGCCTCCTTGAAGACCTTAAGGAAATTGTCCCCAAAGACGGACGTTATGTTTTCCATTCACTGTGGCCAAGGGCTTTTGACGTAAACGAGCAATGCCGTTCTATTACAGAGTCTTTCTACAAGCAAATTGCTAATGGAGCTCATGCTCTGTTTTCCAATGGAAAAAAATGGGTTGGCATTACTCAAGTGGTTTTTCTCCATCCAGACCTTCGCATGGATCCTGAAATTGGAGAAATTTCGTTTTCTGTGTTTTGTGACTTCCCTAAAGGAAATGATGTGGTGATTGATTTGCCAGCCGAAGTATTCCAGTCTTTTGAACGTTGTGATCTGCTAAATGTGCTAAGAAGTAAAACATACGACAAGTTTCGATTTTTCCGTGAAGTTTTCTTTCCAAACATTTCAAGTGTTACTTCAGTCAAACGGGATGTTCTTGTGCTATATGCACTAAATCAAAACAGCAAAACGTTGGACGACTTGATAATAAAAAACTCCTGCGTTCCAGTGTCGCCTAATGGAAAGATTCTCAAGCGGCCGAGTCAGTTAGTGAATCCCAAAAAAGAAGCTTCCTCCTTGTTTTTCCCAGATGATGGTAGGTTTCCCTTTGGCGACGAGAGTACATTTCGCAACCCACAAGTGCTTGCCAAACTGGAGGTACTTGGAATGAACTCACACGATCTTCCTTGGGAGGACATTGCAGAAAGAGCAGAGAGTGTCCAACGAGTTAATTCAGTGGACAGTAAGGTGGCAGTTAAGCGTGCTAAGTTTTTGATAGAATTCGTACAAAAGAAGTTGAAGATGAAAGATAAAGGCTCCTCGGAAGGCGTCATTTCTCGTATTGTCAAAGCTGAGTTTCTCCCAGTACTAGAGAGATCGAAATCGTTTCCCCTTCGCTGGAAAAGCGAAGAATATCGAACATCTCGAAGGCTTCTGGCAGCCCCAAGGGACATTTTTCTTCCTTCCGACAAATACTTGGTGTGTTGTACGGAGTTAGTTGTCGATCTAGAAATCCCCAAGAAGGTGACAGAATTGCTAAGATTACATGAAAAAAGAGTTACTACAGAGCACGTGATGAGACAGCTAACTGAAGCCATTTCCGCCAGCATTGGTAAAATGGATCGTAAGAGTTTAGACGAAGTGAGACGCGTTTGCAAAGAGGCTTATTCTTTTCTACAAGATAATATGGCCAACTGTACGCCCTCCGCTAAGGACTTCCTGTCTACGAAACCGTTCATTTTAATTGAAAGGCGCTTTCTCTCCGCAGATGAGGTCGCCTTTGAGGTGAAGACCGACTGTTCCCCTTACCTTAATAAACTTCCAGAAACTTTATCCGATTCTTACGCCAAACTCCTGAGATTCAGCGGTGTTAGAAAGCAATTCGAAGCGAAGGACTACATTTCAGGTCTTCAAAAAATAAAGCAAAAGGTTGCAGAGACACAACTCGATGAGCAAACCTTGCAAGTGGCAGTCAATATGGCTATCGAACTTGGGGAGACTGTGAAACGTTGTAATGAGGAATGGTATGCCGGGGAGGAAAGCTCAAATTATATTTTTCTTCCTGATTCTGGAAGGAGAATGCTTGCAGTGGCTGACCTTTGCTACAAGGATTGTCCGTGGATGCCTGATGATCCAGAGGAACAGTTCATTCATGAAAAAATTCCCTGGTCGACCTGTAAACAACTGGGGGTTAAAACACGCCGAGAAGGGGCCTTGCAACAACACGATATTGGGTTTCCTTTTGGGCAAAAGGAAGAGCTCACAAATCGATTGAAACGGATTTTGACAGGCTACCCAGGGGAGAAAGAAATTTTAAAAGAGCTTCTTCAAAATGCAGATGATGCACAAGCAACCGAAATTTGCTTTATCAAAGATCCTAGACACCATCCTGATGAAAGAGTGTTCCAAGAGAGTTGGAAGCCTCTGCAAGGTCCTGCACTTTGTGTGTATAACAACAGACCGTTTACCAGTGCGGATATTGAAGGAATTTGTAACCTCGGAAAGGGCAGCAAAGGAGAAGATCCCAACAAGACTGGTCAGTATGGAGTTGGGTTTAATGCTGTATACCACTTGACTGATGTGCCGTCATTCAGGTCGAAGGGTGAAGAAATTGGAGATGTTTTCTGCGTGTTTGACCCCCACTGCAAGTACGTTCCGTGTGCCAGTGATGCAAAACCTGGAAGAATGTACAAAGACATCGATAAGTTGAAGAAGAAGTTTCCAGACGTTTTTCCCTGTTATCTTGAGGAATTGTTTCCCATAAAGAATGCAACCATGTTTCGATTTCCGCTTAAGTCTCAGGAAATGGCTGAAGAATCCAAAATATCAAAGAAACCTGTTTCCGTACATCAACTTGATGGAATGATGAAAGATCTGAAGATGGAATTGTTTGAAGTTCTTCTGTTCGTTAACAATGTGAGGAAGATTAGCATTGCAGGGATAGACAGAAATGAAAAACTGGCAGATATCTACTCCGTTGAAGTTGTTATGACTCAAGAAGCTGAGAGAATAAGGCAGCGTTTCGCTGATTACATGAAGCAAGTTGGAAAGAAAGCCAAGCACGAAGATTTCCTCCCTACAAGTATACAGACGAAAAAGTGCATTTATACCATGACACTTCGTGACAGCGTTGGTGAGGAGGAGACTTGGTTGATTGTACAACAGGTCGGCTTTGAGAAGCCTGTGGAAAAGAGTATTGTTGACGCCTTCAGAGACGAAAACCTTGGGATGCTACCTCGGGGTGGTGTGGCTTGCCTTTTAAGCAGCAGCAGGTCATCTGGGCAACGGAAAGGTAAAGATGGTAAAGCGTACTGCTTTCTTCCACTACCCTTTAGAACCAATTTGCCCGTTTATATCAATGGTCACTTTGCTTTGGACCATGAGGCCAGAAGAAATTTGTGGCGGGATGAAGCTGGTGGCTATCGGAGTGACTGGAATAAAGCCCTGCTACGTGATGTGATCACCTCCTGCTACCTCACTCTCCTGGACAAGGTACGAGGATACATTCAGCTGCCAGTTGGGCAGGATGCTGCAGATCAGTATTCCACCTTTAGCAAAAGTGAGATCACCAAAAGGCTAATTTCCTATGAAAGACTTTTCCCCAGGTATCCCCTTGAAGATTCACACTGGAGGATGTTAGCTGATTCCGTGTACCAAGAAATGAGCAACAAGGAGATGCGCCTAATTCCAGTAGTGAGATCTTTGAAACAAATGTCAAATGCCCGTGCTAAAAATTTGAAATCAGTAGTAACATGGTTTCCACCGCAAGGTGCTGGCAAGAACCAAGTGTTCTTCAACAATCTTGAAATCGAAGGCTGCTTTTCTGCACTTTCTCTTAGGCCAGATATTGAAGAGGAGGAAAGGAGGAAGAAAGATGAAGCCCGGATTAGGCGAAAACAGCAATTCGAAGAAACGATGCTACGAACTGGGTTCAATTTGGTCACACTATCAATCACCGTCTTCCGTTCATTCAAAGAAGCGGGAGTAGAGGTTTGCTGTCTATGTCCTGTTGTTATTATGGACTTCTTCAAGTCGTTCAGTGAAGTTAATCCGCTTTGCAGTATTGGCGAGATCCCGTTTCCTATCGACAAGACTCCATTCAAGGACCAAGAGGCATTAATTGGCATTCTAAAGTACTGTAGGGCCAATGAATGTTTTCTGGAGAATCTCGCGGGTCTTCCGTTGCTTCTCACACAAGATAACTACTTACGCGTATTTAGCGAGAAAGAACCTCGGTGTTTGAGTCATTATTACGATATTTTACCACGATCTCCGTCGTTGTTTGTGCACAACAGAGTCCACTGCGAAGTTTTCAACAATGTTGATCTCAAAAAGACCCCTGTATTCCGACCCCTGGATGTACAAATACTCTCGTCAAATTTGCACCTTGCGCTTCCCGGATGCTTCTGTAGCGAGGATCGCTATATGAGGTGGTCTCCTGAAGATCCGAAGTCTCCTTTGCCGAATCGTCGCTGGATTTACAGAGTCTGGAACTTTTTGGAGAGATTTTCCAGCGAAACATTGAAAGAATCAGATGTAGCAGACGAAAACAAAATTTCGTTCATTCGTGACCTGCTCAAGCCGTTGTCTAAATGGAACATTCTTCCAGCGACAGAGAAAAGCGTGTCTGTAGATCATTATTTAGTGCCTCTGAAAATGGCGGAGTCGGTTCTTGATTTTGGTGATTGTGGTCAGTCAAGCAAGAAGTTGGTCGAGGCTTTGAGATGTTTGACATTACCTGAGCTTAACTCGGTTGTGATGGCATCCAGTAGCGTTGATACGTCATCCTACACTAATACGGATTCATACAGGTTCGCTTGTAATATTGTGGCGACATTGAAGACACCTCATTCACTTTTAAAGGCGCTGAATCAGAAACTAAAGACGAATCCTGCCTCCCTTAGTGGTAGACTAAAGAGCACTGAGGCTGAAAGCATTCTTGGTTATTTTAGCCGTAGTGTCAAGGATTTAGTAGACGACGACAAAGAAGCACTAAGAAAGCTTCCTTTCTTTCCAGTGGCGGGCGGAAGGCTTGGAGAAGTACAGGATAGAGACGTCTTTGTCCTACCTGGTGAGATCCCCAAGGACGAGATGGATGCTGTAGAATCCAGAGTTGGCTGTTTGTTTCTAGAACCTCGTCAAAGTCTGTCAGACTTGTATGAATTCCTCGGATTTCACCAATTATCACCAGCAAATGCATATCTAAAATTCATCCTGAAATGCTTTCAGCATCTTAGTTTTGAAGGAAAGTTGGCCCATCTCCGATATCTGCGGGGCTTTGTTTTCTCAACAAGTGTACAAGGAAAGGAAAATGAAGAATTTGAAAAGAAACAGCTGCTGGATTACCTGAAAATAGTTCCAACCATCTCAGCCGTGGATGGCTCATTGAAGACAGCATCCAGTTTTTACGACCCTCGGAATGAAGTTTTCCGTACTATGTTATCAGCAGACAGTTTCCCAACGGGAATTTTCAACACTAACGAATGGTTGCCCTTTTTGGAGAAAATAGGCTTAATAACAAACGTTTCGCAAGATGATTTTGTGAAGTTCGCTTCCCAAGTTGCTAGTGAAGCTGAAACAGCCCGCACTGAAAAGACATACAAGAAGTCTGAAGTTCTAGTGCATAACCTCATTTCTTGGCCTAATGTTGTAGAAGAAGGGCTCTTACCTCTTGTTCGTAACATTCCTTTTGTGGCGTCAGATCCAGTAAAAGAATCCCTAAAAGCACTATGCCCACCATTTGGTGAAAAGAGGAGTGGTGAAATTCCATTTATTGCATTTAGTGGTACAGTATTCAGAGATCATGAAGAAATTGTTTGGACCAAAGCGTTTTTGCTTCCAAATTGGGCGGATCCAAGGTTTAATTACGGAGCCCTTGCAAGTGGGTGTCCTCATCGAAAGACAGAGAAGTATCTCAAAAGTTTCCTGGCTCAGCTCAACGTCATTAAGGAGCCATCAATTCGACTTGTCATCGGCCACTGTCAGACGGTAAGTGGCGTAAGAGATCTCAGAGATAAGATCCCTTCAACTGTCACAAAGGTCATGGAACGCATTTACACATTTCTGCAGCAAAAGGCAGCCAGTGAACCTGATTTGAATATCTTGCTCCAAAGCACACGTTGTATCTTGGTGGAGCGAGGGAAAAGGTTCATCCTTCCTAAACAAGCAGTCCTCGAGCTCTACGAGGATCTCGAGATAAAGCCATTCCTGTACAGAGTGCCTCCTGAATTTGGCAAGTTTCAGTCTTTGTTTAAGCTTCTGGGCTGCTCCAAGACTGTAACCTCTACACACTACGCTATGGTCTTAGAGCTTTTGCAGAAAAACTGCCAAGAAGCAAAGCTACATCCAAACGAAGTCCAGATGTCTTCAAAGGCGGTTAGAGGACTATTTAACAGTGTGCAAGACGATGATGAAAGTGTAAAAACGCTCCCTAAATTGTACCTACCAGCAGTGTCTCCAGAATCCGGCTCTCCGAACAAACCACTAGAAGCTAACCCTGTTACTTTGCGTCCATCCGAAGAGCTTATATTTGATGACGCTCCAACCTATGGCAGTCGGATTCACGGGATTGACCAGCTGTTCGTCCCAGACCTTAGCCTGATGGAAGTAACCTTAAAATCAGCCATGACGAGCTTTAAAGATCTCATGATGAAATTGCCTGCCTCTGTACAACCACGAATGTTGTCGTCAGTGGTGAAAGAGAAGCTCAGCTCCCCAGACAGCCTAGAAGTAGTGTCAATTGAGGCAGTGAATGCACTGAAACGGCAACTCACGTCTGTGCAGTTTGGACATGGATTTGCGAGGATCATAAGACACGTCAATTATCAGAAGAAAGGCTTCGACGAAGGGGTGATAGCAGGTGTTGAAAGGGGACTCCGCAGCATCGAGCTCTTATCCGTAAAAGGCCTTAAAACGTCACTTTATCACAATGACATCCTGATTCCTGAGAGTGAGCAATCAGTGGTGTATTTCAAAGAGAGGTTGGAGCTACCTGGCAAGGAAACGTGGAGAGTTTACATCAATGCGCTAACTGGAATAGATGAAACCTTTTGGGCAGTGGTAACCAACATTATTGTGGAAATGTACGGCGAATTCCTCGGTAAGAATTCCTATGTCATTACTAGTATGTTACGTTGTTCTCCAACGGGCATCTGGTCACTCTTGGACAAGATGGGTATAAGAAAAGATGACAGTTACGGCGCAGCACAAATGAAAATCTATCCTGAACCTGGTACCTATATTCCAGTTGAAGATCAGCATCTCTTGAATGACGCTTTTGAAGAATTTGAACCTGGGGAATACGTAGGTTATCAGCTGCATGACCCAAGTCTACAACAGGAGGAAGGCACTGCAATCTACATCTACGCTATAGTTATTGAGGAGGTATCAAACACAGATGCTGGGATGTTGTTGAAATCATACAGAATCGACATCGGGCATGACAAGGAGCCGGTTGTGGTCAGTGCTGCTCGCTTACATAAATTTCACCGATTAGAGGAGATATTTGACGAACAAGAAGGTTTACACAAAGATATAGAAGAGGTGTGTAAAGAGATCTCTGCCACTCTCGAGCTCGCATGGGAACTGCCAGAGGAAGAGAGAGATCAAATTGTCAAGCGTTTTTTTTTGCGTTGGTTTCCAAAGGAGAATATCCGTAATTTGGAGTTGTTCACAGCAGCTTTTCAGCACTTAAAGAGTGAGATTTCTAGACTCGGTGGTTTTAACCTTGCTTTGTTTGCTCCATGGGAAGCCCTTGTAAGAGAACGAGACAATCAGAGAGAAACTTACCGAGAAAACTACTGCAAAAAGTTTGGTTCGTGGAAGTCTTCGTCGGGCCATAGGTCAGGATCCAGTTTTCCTCCAAGTTTCTGTCATCAAAATTCTCAACCAGGAGAGGCCAAGCGCTGGTTCAGACAAGCTGAAGCTGACCTTGAGGCTGGCACCGTGGAATTATCCTTCGGGAGAGATTCATATGAATGGATTTGCTTTAAATGCCACCAGGTTAACCTTCGTTTTGTCTTGATACATTTGAAATGATACTGCCCCAGCCGTAGGTCTTAATTAAAGGTTTAGAGATGCTAAAAGCGCTAGATTGTAATAGAATGAACGAGCTAGGTCTAGATACAAAAATCCCGAAAAATGGCCCAAAAATCTATCCGGAAATTCTCCAAAAATGTCTATAAATCCCAATTTTATCAGAAAAAATCTCGAAATTGATTCTAAAAATTCCGACTTATCCAATTTGTTTTCGAAATCATCACATTTGACTCTAACTTTGACAAGGTCGTGCTTGGAGACTTAATAGGGAGCTTAAGCAACTACGAAGACGACCACAACGACAACTTCAAAAAACTATAGGTTTAATGATCAAAACAACAGCTCGGCACTTGCATCACGCTCTTTATTACATTTCTTTGACGTCCACTGCACGACTACGACATGAAACCTCCTAATTTGACGTTTTATGCGTGACGTAGACATACGACGACAAAATTTCCTTCCTCATTTTGAACCTGAATAAAATTCTTAAGAATTCAACTCCAGGAAAAGTCGCCATCATTTGACATATATTGAGCCGGTCCAAATAGACGCGATTAAGTTTGAAGGAAAGCAAAATTTTTTTTAGCGACGTTTTCACTGCCTTCGTCGTAGTCGTTGCTTAAGGTCCCTAATATTTTTTTTCTGACCGAAGGCAAAATGCAAATTCGTCTCAAACACGATTGCTAAAGGGAATTACTGAGCCTCAACATCTTAAGCAAGTAATTGAAGCTCCAAGACGCATCACGGATCACTCCGAATCTCTTATTGACCTATGTTTTACTAACGCTCAGCATAAAGTTATCGAGTTATCGTTTGAGCGATCATTCTTTGATTTACTGTCTTGAAGAGCGGTCGCTTAGCCAATTACCTTGGCATGTGGCTTTAAACAACCATGAAGATATTGATGACTGTGTCCACACCTGGAGTAAACTGTTCTCAAAGGTTGCTGAAGGCCATGCTTCAATAAGAACAAGCCGGGCCAGAGGTTTTTCTATTCCTTGGTTGAACCCTCACATTACCCAACTTATGAATCAGCACAATTACCACCTGAAGAAAGCCAAGGGAAATAAATGCAGCACTCACTGGCGTTTATACCGTGATCTAAGAAATAAAAGTCACCCGAATCATCGAGAAAGCAGAATCCGATTATTACACTAACCTAATAACAGATAGTAGTAAATCAGGCGCTAAAGACTTTTGGACAGCTTTCAAACAAACTCTTCCCTCTGCTAAAACGTCCTCTAGAATTAAGTCTGCTAGCTGATAGCACCCTCCTCACCTCAGCCCATTCTATTGCCTCGGCTTTTAATGCTTTTTCGTAAACGTGGAGAAGTCCCTGGCGGAAAAGATTCTTCCTGAACCGTATACAGCTAAAACTACGAACTGTCATTCTACCTTTTCATTACAAACGATTAGTGAAGATTTTTTTCAAGATCTATCAATCTTTTAAGAACTAATAAGGCGGTTGGTATTGATAAAATCAGTGCATGTCTCCTAAAAGATGTTGTAGATGTTATTACTCCTACTTTAACAGCTCTGTTTAATTAATCTCTTCAAACAAGATCTTTTCCTTCTATATGGAAAACAGCGAAGGTTATACCCTTGTTCAAAGAGGGCGATAAAAAGAATGCTTCTAATTACAGGTCGATCTCCATTTTACCGACCTTGAGCAAACTCCTAGAGAAGGCGGTTCATACTCAGCTATATGCCAACTGGTTTGGATTTAGATTGAAGTCATCTACTGTTACTGCCGCTTCTCATCTTTCTGATCAAATCCTTTACTCCTTGGACACTGGTCGCCTGACTGGTGCTGTGTTCTTGGGCCTCGCTAAAGCGTTCTGCACTGTTAATCATACAATATTGCTTCAGAAGCTTTGAAGTCTTGGTGTTGATGATACTGCCATAGCCCGGTTTACCTCATTTTTAACGCATAGAAAACAAGTGACCTCTGAAAATGCCCCTGTTTCGATTGATGTTGCGCAAGGTTCTATATTAGGCCCATTATTATTCATAATTCACATGAATCTTCTACCAGATGTTTTGCAGTTCTGCCAAGTCACTTTATATGCGGATGATACTGTTCTATACCTTGCCTCTAAATCTGCTGCGGACTTACAACGCAAGATTAATGCTGACGTGGGGCGTATGTGCAAATAGTTTCGGGCTAACCAATTCACTCTGAATGTCAAGAAATCGATCTTTTTTTTACCTATATGTAGTAGTTCCCGCCTAAGTAAAGAAGGGTCCATCCATATTCCTGCTGATAATGTCCCTCTCGATAATGTAGACTCTTATACGTACTTGGGTAGTGTGATCAACAACCAGTTTACCTGGAATGACCACAGAGATTACATTTGTGGTAAGATCAGCAACAAGTTTGGTCGTATCTTGCCTCCCCTTCCACGCCAGAATTACGTTTTTTAAATAGTTTTATCGTACCTCTTTTTGACTATGGGGATATCATTTGGGGTGATCGGGGAAATGCCTCCTTGGTGTCTGATCTACGAGTGTTGTAAAATAAAGCAGTGCGTCTCATTTTTGATCTTCCTGCGCATTCTTCCGCATCCAAGGCACTTAAGAGACTTGGCTGGAAGCCCTTATTACGGCGTACAATGGAACATCAAGCTATTTTTATGTACAAGTTACTTTACAATCATTTTTGCTGCTCGATCCGAGTTTCATTTAACTGTGATTTTCATGATTATTATACACGGTCAAGAAATGACATTCGCAAATCCAGTGCCACAAGGCGCTGGGGTCACTGGTCGTCAGTTAATTTTAATTCCAGTATTTGGAACTGTGTAGACACTTCCTAAAGGGAAGCAGAGACACTTTCTTCTTTTAAATGTGGCCTGTCTAAAGCAATTTTGTGATATGTATATGTACATATATATGTATTTAATCAAATATGTGTATGTGAATTTTTTTTTCATTTATATTTTTTTTCATAGTCTTGCATTTTTTGACTAGTGTTTAGTCTTTGCCGAGTTTTCTTTTGAGGACCTAACTGTAAACCACTTCTTGTGGCATTGGCACTCTTCATTAAAGATTGCTTTTTTCATAATTTGTATAAAATGCAGGATTCTTGCAACCTGCGCAATTTGACTACAAGTCCTGTGGTCAAATTGCATGCAAACACCTTAACTTCAAACTGATTCCAAATGATAATTCAGTATTCACTAGATAATGTAAGTGGTTTGTCTCGTTCATGTATTCAGTTTATCTCTCAAAAAAATGATAGCGACAATGAGCACTAAATAGAGTTTGACATTTCATGTGGCACAACCGAGGCCAAAAACATGAAGACTGTATTTTTCTAAACATTATCGTCTAAAAATCCGAAAATTCTGTAAAAATCTCATTTGACTCTGAAAATCCTTTAAAAAAAACGGATTTTTGTATCTAGGCCCAGAACGAGCAAAGTCTGCACGAAACGTACCTGGGTCCAGCACAAAGAATTTTAAGTCCACTCTACAGTCATTCCGTCTTTAACCTTTTTAATTAATATTGAAACGGAGTGTGCTGCATGGCAAAAACGACGATTCATAAATTAAAAGCATGGAAAACCGTAGCAAAAACGTATAAACACTTATCACAAAATAGCGACGTAAACAATGGAAACAAACTTTCAAAGCAAAAGTAGGACATAAAATTATAGTAGTTGAATTGCAGTTAAGATCAGTCTTCAAAGTCTATATGACGCTTGCTGAGGGAATGAAAGTCAACAACGCGCGAAAATCATATGCATACGTTTAGCCAAAAGAGTTCTAGATTTTCTCACCGAGCACACGAGTCTGAATATTTAAAGTGCACACCAATCCCAGGGCTTCTAAAGGGCATTTTAAGTCCCTCCAATACGATAAGGATGCTACTGTAGGTGCTTTTATCTTATGTTCGTTGTAGCGCTCCTTCCCCCATACAGAAAAAAAAATGATAACCAAATGAAAGAACGATTTGCTGAAAGTGGAGCTGACGTAAAGTTTCATTGTGGTGCATCCAGCCCTATCATGGAAATGCCAAACAAAAATACCCTTTAATAGCTTCTTTCCATTTGATCCTTCCTATCTAGCGTTATTAAAGGCCTGCGTACATGAGGTGAGCCAGCCCGGTTTGCTGGGCTGGCCTGCTTGACCAGGCTGGCTCGGCTCATACCTTGTTTCCTCATAAAATTTACGTTGTGTTTATATGAGAAGAAGGGCTGGCCTGCTTGCCGAGATCCCGGTTGCTCGAGTCAAGATCTTGGCAAGCGGGCCATCATATCCGCCCTCTTATTTAAGCACAACGACAATTTTAAGAGGAAATAAGGTATGAGCTGAGCCAGCCTGGTAAAGCCTGCCAGCCCGGCTAGGCTGGCTCACCTCATTTAAAAAGGCCCTAAGTTACGTGTGGTTGTTTATGTCTTTTCAGGCAGCGGAAAAGGCCCTGAAAGCCTTGCAATATAAAGTGGATGCAAACCAGAAGACGAATGACCACAATTTGTGTCAAAATTGCTGTGATATCAATGACCATAGATTAACCCAGTTGGCAGTTGAACTGGAATGTGTTGTGGTAAATTCAGCACACATGCGATATCCTGACACCATGTCATACCCCAAGATACCAAATGACGTGTATACAGCACAAAAGGCAGAGAAGGCCCTGAGCTTAGCAAGAAATATTGTGGAGAGAGTGAAAGTCAAATTGACTTAATTAAGGTAATTTAACTCTCAAGTACCGGTATGTAGTTGACGGCGCCAATGGGAGACGTGATGAAACCAACACCAGCTGACGTTATGAACCCACTTACACTGTTGGGGAAGTAGTCATATTCGAGATTCGTTTTTAGTTCTTACCATTTTGCTATAAGCAATAGGCCCGCTGCAACTAACCATTCACGTGGTACAAAACCGCCGTGCTGAAGAGCAAGTGACGCACTGGGACAGGCCAAACAAAAAAACTTACATCATTTAAGGTTATCAGATACCTTCGAGGGTGTCTCACGCGCAAGTAATGTAGCGCGTTCCGGTTAAACTGCAGATACCGAAAAACCCATATCAAATTAAAGCTTATTAAACTAGCTTTCTTAATAAACCATTATTATTTTATTATTATTTCCCATTGTTTCACGATTAGGGTATCGGAGGGCTGCTACATGAACCCATCGAACAAATTTCCTCGGAGTTATAGCTTCTTAAAGTGTCCCCCTCTGAGCGGAAAGTATATGTCGAGAAAAAGGCGATTAAAAAATCCCTCGCTTCGTAAAAAAACCCCGCCCACAAATACTTCCCAGCAATCTGGGCCAATCAGCGCTTGGATAAGACAACAACTGCTCTATTTTCGCGCACTTTTTATTTTCAAACAGCTTCGTGTTTCGACTTTCGAGCCACGTTTGCGTTGGGATAAATAGTGAGATCAACTTTTATTTTTCACGGCTGTTGAAATTAAAGACCACAAATACAGCCACCGCTAGGTTGAAAACCAAACCGGCCGATAGAATGAAAAGAAGAAAAGACAGTCCGGCGGCTTCTACTGAGCCCGGACAATTAACAAAGATAGAGGATGAGATAATTTAACAGCGATGCAACTGATTGGGTAACCGGTAGTTTTCTTTTGTGTCTTGTTTAGCTTAAGTTTCTCTTTTACTACATTCATTTGGCAAATAACTGAGACAATTAAAACTTATTCATGATTTTTATGTAGGCTGACTCTGACTACTTTTAGTAAACATGAAGCGCTCCACTCAACTAAGACGAATGGTGGAAACGTTCTTTTTCATTTGTTGGTATTGTCAAGATGCCTTTTGAAACTTTGCTTTTGAAAATACATTTCTTTCCGTTGCTTCTTTTATATTCTTCTATCGTGTCGTTGTTCATTAAGATTCCCTTTCGCCCTTCACTTTTTGCATTTTGCGCTGTTTATAATTTGTCCATGGACAAAAAAAAAGAGAGAACGCTGCGTCGATTCGCTAACTAAAAACGTAACATTTCCGACTGTTCATCCACCGGCCATGGAAATTCCCGCGAAAAACACCATAGGGCTGTCAATCAAAAAGAGTAACTTTTGCTTCCGGTGCAAACGAAAAACCGTCATTTCTCCGCCAATATTTACTCTTTTCCATTTTTTCTGTTCTTCTCATAAAGATCACACCAAAGACTTTACTATTCGCCAAAAATCAAAACTCTAACAAAATTTTTCGTCTGACGATAACCGGTAACCTTAAAATGGTCGTAATTTCCTTTGTTTGTCTTCTCCCAATGCGTCCCTCTGCTCTTCAGCAAGGCGGTTTTGTACCACGTGAATGGCTAGCTGCAGAAGGCCTATTGCGCAGTATAATATTCTGGGAAATTGCCCTCCTACCCCTTGTCGCTAACCCAACATTTTTTCTAAGTAGGAAGTTAGTTAACGCTGGGTTAGAGGAGAGGTGGGTAGGCAGTTGCCTAGAATCTAAATGCTGATCCCATAGAACAATTTGACGGAATGACACGAGCTGCTATCTTGGCATCCGATTGAAGTTACCCATACGTTTCACAGATTTCAACAAACTAATAACTTTCATGTTAGCTTTTCATTGATCTTCGCATTTTATGAACCGGGCTGACTTCCCTATTTTACGCTGAAATAGAAGATATGAAAAGATATGAAGATATGAAGTGTCTTCTTTTCTTTTACAGTTTTCCTTCTATTTTTCAAAGATGAGTTGCGAATCAGACCACATTGAAAGTGGAGTACATCTGGAGTTCCATTCGACGTGTATCTTAGAAGAAGTTAGACTAATTTATGTCAGTAGAGAAAATGCTCGAGTTTAGTCTCATTGTAATGCCAGCTTAAGGCCCGTCCACATTATTTTCAGATCATTTTTTTTTCTGCTTTTGCATACAGTCCACACTGAAAAGATTTTTTTGCTCACCGAAAAATAATCTTCAGATTGGAAGAATATGAAAACCTCGGCTAGGTGGTTTAGGGTGCGTGGATGGTCCAAAACGCTGGCGTCAAAATAAAATGGCCATGTTATCGCCTTGCTGGCGTGCGTTGAAGTGACGTTTGTATACCATCCTATTCGAGCCGAGTGTCGAGGAATTGTCTCTTTTTTGAAGTTTTCCGGATTACTGTGGACGGTATAAAGCATTGAAATGACATCCAAATGATAGTGCATTTTTCACCCGTTTTCAAATCGTTCAACTTGTGGATGGGGCTTGTACATTGGGTGCGGCCTCTACATTATGTGGGCCGCTGCATGTTAGACAAAAACTTTAAAACGCTGTCAGTGAAGCTGGTGAAGTACAGCGTCAATAGCAACTGTGAAAATAAGTAATGGTAACAGGACTGAGTGGAGTCCCAATTCGGTCTGTAATAATCATGAGTGATTAACAAAAGCTTTGTTTAATCACGACTATGATTACAAACCGAATTGGACGACACGAAGTTCTGTTACCAATTAATCATAACTTTAACAAAATTCTTGATATATCAGGCTCTTTTTAAATTCAAAACACAAGAAATTCCAAGGTTTTTTTTGCTAGCCATGAAAAAGAAAAGCCATTTAAGCGTGCGTGTGATGGTGCATACTGTCCAATTACTTAGGCATGACGAGTACTATTAAACAGTCCTATTAAGACTGAAATCAGGGCAGTTGACAACCAATCTGATTTGAGAAATTTGTTATAGTTATGATCATAAATAATAACGTAGAGGATATTAGTCCGTTTTAGTTTTGTAGAACAACAGTCGGCATAGCCTTATCATTTACAAAGGTAGCACAAGTAACAAACGTTTCTTGTATTATGTTGCTCTTTTAACCCTTTTTCATATTCTTGTTGCCTGTAATTTTAGGCTTAGGATCTAATCTTGAGTTTCTTGCACCATCAAGAAAACATTTTAAAGGATTTTTAGAGGGTTTACTTAAAGTACCAAACAGTCAAGAGTTTGTTTGTTTGTTCGTGTTTTGATTTAGTAACGTACATGTACACTGACATCGCTACTCTGAGGAGTGACGCCGCCGAAAACGTGATTCTATGGTTCAAGGGGACACATCTCGTTCGAAGCCTTTGGTATCGAAATTTGACAGTTTTGCAGTCTATTGATTTGAAAACTGTTGTGAATATGCTTAAGATCAAGAAAATTGAACAACTGAGTTGAATAGGAGTGGGTTTTTTTTGTGCTTTTTCCTTATATTAGACAAGTGTATGATTGATGACATCTAACAATTTGTGGAATGATCAAAATATCTATAGTACTATGTACATGAAGACGTATAAGGTTATGTCCACACTTTACCGGTTAGCCTTATTTCCATGCCGAAAGGAAGACCTTTCCGGTATAGTGTGAACGTAGCCTTAACCTATCTGATATGTGACGCTCCACTTTAGAGATCGGCGCGGGCGCAGCTTCGCTCCGTTACGGAAATCGCGCCGAAACCACCGTTCTTGTGTGTGAACAGAAGCCCTATCCGGTAAAATTTCAACATAGCCTGAGGACCAGTTAAGATTAGGCGATCACCGTCTGTGGCTTGTTTTAAACCACCTTAGTAACAGAACCTATGTGTAACCAGAAGCCCCATCCAGTATGGTTTTGGTGCCGGCGGGATAGTTATTCGGTATAGTGTGAACATAACCTAAGTAGCTGATGTGGGTGAGAATATGACAATTTATTATATAAACACCAATGAAATACCAGGTGAGCTTTCGCACGAAAACTTGATATCTTTACGTGTGAAAATAACATGTTATCTTCACATGTGAAAATATCACCGTTGCTATGGCTACATAATAGATCGCGCCTTTCACACCAGAAAACTATTAAAGTGAAATGGTTTGGTAGTTCATTGGTGTTTATGTAATAAATAGAACATTACATGGCCGCTTGGAGATTCGAAATTTCTCTTCTCGTGTTGAAAAAATATTTCACTCGTTCGCTGCGCTCACTCGTGAAATATTTTCAACACTCGAAGAGAAATTTCGTATCTCCGCGCGGCCATGTAATATCCTCTATGTAGCAAAATGGCGTAAACTCCTAGTTCAAAAATTGTAGTGAATGTTTAAGACCCAGAAAATAATAATAATAATAAACACATTGAGTTTTGGGAGTGTTTTTTGTTGCTTTTATTTTCTATCTGACAACTGGTTGATGACCTCTTTAAATTTGAGAAATGATTGCAGTATCTAAGAAAATATGGCGAAATAGCGTTAACTCTTAGCACAAAAACACCTCTGGGTATGTTATGGAAAACGGCGCATTGCATAGCTCATGCGCGAAAGCGAGTTCATAATTTTGTCAGAATTTGCAACGCGCGTGACTCCCACGAGGATTGCAAGGCAAGTGTGATTATGAGCTATAGGAAACATGGATTTCGACTAAATAAAGCTTAAATTGTTATTTTGTTACTCGTTTGTGGTCAATTCTACCCTTAAATTTCTTGTAGGAAGCCTAGAAATACTCTTTGTTTGGATTCAATAATTAAAACTTGGTAACCGAGCGTTTGCTAAGCACGTGGAGTATTCTACTAAACAGTGACTGGGTGGGAAACTCTTTTCAATCTCGAGATTAAGTTGCTTCGAGATGTGAGCTATTGAACAATCGTAGGGCCGAATAGGTAATAGAAATTGTTTTTTCAAATTCGTCTTGGGCTGGTTAGATCAAAGGAGCCCCTTCCAGCCTCCGGATAGTGCTAAAAATGTCACATCGGAAACCCACACGGATACGGACATTTTAAAGAAATTATATTCAAACGTTCCAGATTTATGAAAAATAACAGCTGGTACGCATTACCAGTAATTAAAATTATCAAGTGAACCAGATAAGTAGCAAATCTATCAGATAAATCTAAATTTAAAACGGTCGGAGTTTTTGTTGAATGGAGAGCGCCCAGACTCTCCTGTACACGATGTGATTTTAGCGCATGACTGGTGTCACACAGAATGTAATACGTAAGAACCCCAGGAGCGGGCAACCTTTGCTTCCTTATATGGAAATAAGCACAGTAACTTGCGTACGAGCCCAACACGATTGCTGGAGTTTTGTTTCCAACCCACAAGTTTTTAGGAGAATGTACACCACGCGCCTAGCGCCCGCACCCCAAGATCTGAAGAGAACGCTCGGTTACCACGCTTCCTACAAGAATTAAACAGGGAGAATTGACCAGAAACAAATAATATAAAGAGTAATTGAAATTTAACCTTTATTCACTTGGCATCCATGTTTTTTATTGCCCATGGCGTGATAAGTCTATGGAGTTTGGTTGCATTCTCGACCCCAGTGTTTACGGGTTTAGGAATACGCGCGTCAGCTCTGGGAAACTCTGCTCCGGAGTAGCCAAACTCTGGGTATTTGGGCTCGCATACTCTTTGATCCAACCAAAACTTTTTGCTTCTTTTGTATCTACTTCATCTCGAAAGTCCTGTGCTGCTTCGGTATAAGAACTGAAGAAATTCAGTTTACCGCCTTGAAGAATTTTCAGGTATCCAAGGCTCTTGAGGTAGCTGCTGAGAAAATACCCAAAAGGCAAGAACTGTATTCGACTTACAGAAAAGAGATAAAAGTGAAACATGAATTTTTTTGTAAGGAACCATAACTTAAATGTGGGCTTGGCAGTGTCGTCTAAAGCCCTGGTCGAACGGTCAACGTTCTTCCAATATTTTTTTAAAGGCGAAGATCAGACCATTTAGCACCTCCACTCAACATTGTTATCGTCAGATGTTTTGACATTTTAAAACATGTTTAAACCAGTTTCAGCTTTTTCTTTTGCTTTCTCGAAATCTTGTCCCACCCTTTCAACAAGCATGATGAGTCTACTTTTCCGCTGGTGATATTAAATAATTATTAATTATTGGATATACACTGTAGTTTTTTTTCGAGCAAATGCTGAGACCCTCCCCTTCTGCTTAGTGCACGGTTTTGGTGATCTCAGATCAAATTTTGTCATCGTGCATCGTGCTTGCACGATAATCCCGCATACGCAGCCGACAAACGTGCATCGAGCCTGAACTCCATTGATGGTGCATAGATTGTACCTTCATGGTGTCTTTATCGAGCCTTAACCATGCTTTCATGAAGCCTTTTCAAAACAATCGTCGATATATCAAGTGAGGAAAAAACTATGGTGTTGAAAAGACAAAAGATGAATAACAATAAACTGGGATATTTAACCTTGTAAGAAATTCAGTTTGTATTTACGAAGCACATTCAATTTCACGAGTTGAATTTATGAGTACGTTTTGTTCCAAAGGTGTTATCATGCCTCTCTCGTCGTTCTTAAATGAATTATCGTGCTTAACTGGTGCCTTCATCGTGCTTAAATGATGCTCAAGGACAAAGGCACGATGCACGAAATGACAAATAACGATAATCGAGCCTCCATGCCCGGTTATGTATCGAGCACTGGCAATTTGGTGCGTTAAAAATTACTTTCTAACGCTAAAAAGGTGGGGTTTTTTTATGTAATAGCCATGAAAATGAATCGTCAAATTTTAAGCCTGGGAGAAACTTCAGTATATCTGCATCTCGAAAAGCTTTGTCTATTCTGGTCAATACAGTTTTATTGTAGAGGTAAGCGAAATCGAAAGTTTATAACTATTAATAATAATAATGATAATAATAATAACAATTTTGTATTCTAGGAAGTGAGCTGAAGTATTTTGGATTCTGGGACGTGTTTTTGGACTCTGGAAAGTGTTATTTGGATTCTGGGATGTGTTTTTGGATTCTGGGAAGTGCTTTGGATTCTGGGAAGCGTTTTAGTTTCTGGGAAGTGCGCTCCAGCTTTCTGTTGACTTCCGGCTCTCCGTTCTCTGTTCTCTCGGCGACTTGCCAGCCCTCAAAACCTTTCTCTCCTTAATCGCGTCTCGTAATAACAAGATGTCACGGTCCGAAAAAAAGAAAGGCGATTAAATTAAATTAGATTAAATTCGATTAAGTGAGAATAGGAAGAATGCAATATCCTTGTTAGGTAATTGTTACCTCTCAGATTAATATATTCCGGATGGCATACTTGAATCGTCATCCACAATAAAAAAGGCTTCGTATGGATTGTTTATTCTGGGTTCAATGTCTTGATAGTTCCGGTATCGAAAGACCACGTTACGGATACCTAAAACAAGTTCGGCTACTTTCACGTATCTCCAACAAATTGCAAATGTCACTGAAATACAAGGCGTTCGTTTTTATGTACGTTTTCAAATGTAGATAACAGAAAATGTAATGAAGCGAAGGTATTATGAATAAGCAGACTGAAGAAATCAATACGGCCTCTGCCTCATTTGCATTATTACTTCTATCTGTCTGGTTTCTCGGAAAGCTGTTGTCGTGGGCTATGAAAGAGCTCCGTTTCTTGGAAACCTTGGAGTGTTTGTATGTGTTTTCAGTCAAGTCTTTCTTATTTCGTTGGTTAAGAAGGGATAACTGATGCGATTGAAGATGAAGGTAAAAATAAGTAATCATCTGGTGTATTTAAAATACGGTCTAAGGGGGGTTTTTGTTTTTACTTATTATAAAAGTTCATTTGTTATTCATTGCTTAACAATCTGTAACAGCTTAAGCTGCAAATAGCAAATGCTAATTTGCAAGAATAAAGCTCGACCTTTGATATCGAAATTTCGCTAAAGAAAACTGATAGTTGAAAAATAGATAAATAATATTTTTTGAAAAAAGCGGAAGGAGAAGAAGAACTTACGAACGGAACACTCAAGTTGTAGGTAAGGATGATAGGAATTGTGCGTTCCAAGAAATCCACCTTTGGTCATGTGATGTCTCGTGATTCTTGAGTTTCTCGGAAAATGTTCCTTATCGTTATCCTTATCATTGAGCCAACATTAATATGAACTCATTCTTGAAAGAACTTGTTTTACACTGATATAACCAGGGAAAGTATTGTTCTTAGCAAAAGATCGCAAAGGTAAGGTTACATTGTCATTGTGACGCTTAAAAAAGGAGTAAAAGTTTACGATAACTTGTTACATTTTCAGTGATCCGCTTCCCGAGAACTTGAACGAGACTCCCGTAGTCCGGCCTGGTTTGTAGTTGGCCGACAATTCATGCAGATGTGGTGTGGGTCTTCAGCAACATTTTATGCGAAGTAGGTACGAAAAATAAATATCTTGATTTAGCAATTTTTGAAATAGCAGATTGCCTCCTCGCTCCACTAACTTCCGTGGCAACGACGCCGGTGCAAGGAATGGCCTTCAGAAAGACTGAACTGCAGTGTTCACCTTTGCAGGCGGTAACCGGTAAAATTTACCGCTTGAAGCAACACTTCTTACCGCCTGCAACCGCTTGAAGTGTTACTAAAATTAAATACACTGTAAGTTGCTTTAAAAAATACGCAAGTTGTGGTTCTAGCCGATCCACACAAGAAAAGGAAGTATATACGGAAAAAAAGAAGTCAAAGAAGTATGCACATCTATTCTCAGTGATTACTTTATTTAACCCTCGGGGGGGGTGGATGGAACCCTTCCCCCGGAGTTTTCAATATGTTGTAGTATTTCGAAACGATTTTACCTTAAGTGGAAAGACCTTGATCTTCTAAACAAGATGAGGTATGTTTTAAGGGTGATAGCGCTGCCGGAGGCGTGTGACGTGACCAACAATAGTCGCCATCTTGGATTTTACCAAGAATTAGAAATCAGGTTAAAATCGCCAGAAATGGTGATTTTTTGTTCTTTACAAGGAAAATAAGACATAAATAAGAACTTTGCATGATTTTAGCCCCAACATGTTGCTGTTATTGTTGAAAGACGTTGAAAAAACATGTATATTCACCCAAAAATGGCTTGACCACCTGCTACTTATGACGTCTTATCTCGTAACCATAGCAACTGACCACCACTAAACGTGACTCAAAATGTGTGCCAGGGATAAACCAACAGCTACTGAAAACATCAGGTGCTGATATTTTATCCTCTATTAGAAAACTCAGAAAAACATTAGGGGGTGCGCCCCCTCCCTTCCTTGTACGTCCGAGGGTTAAATGCTGACTGGTACCTTTCAAATCACTGCAGGCTTACAATTTCTTTTCGTAGGTTTCTGTCCCAAATCAGCCTTCATTCGTGAAATTCTTTGTTTTGAGTTGTTTAAAATACTTTTCGATGAACTGGTTAACAGGATGCTCGAAAATAAAAGCCTTCATGCACGCTAACACTGCCTGGAGAGCACACCTGTGGCGCACATTTTTGGCCTTACCAGTTAACAATGGTCCCTTACCTGCAGAGCTAAAATTTAGGGAGACCACTACCTTTGTAATATCAAGCTAGTTTTGTAATATTATGAATTTTTGCGTTCGAGGTACGAGAACGGAACCCCTAATTTGTGTTAGTGTTCTGTAATAAAGGATTAAATTAACTGTAAAAACCGTGGATGAAAATCCTGCTAGTTGTAAACTTTGGATCTCGAGGAAAGAGATCTGATCAGCCAAAATATAAAGAACCAAGAACGAGAAGTCCAAAGACTACTGCAAAGCTGATTTAAAACAACTTGTATTGTTTTTTATATAACAATATTTCGGCTGGCCAGTGTTCTGTGCATTATTGAGTGTCCTGTGCAATTAATAACCGAGGTTTTTGAGAGATTGCATTTGTTTTGACACACATTTACGTCGTTTTGAGGCGATTGCTTACGTTTTGCTTCACTTTGACGCGCTAACTCACGTGGTCATTCACGTGTCCTCGGGGTTCATCTTCCAAACGTTTGCTGTGGTCTGCTATTTGTCTTCGTAAAGTGTACATATTTCAATGGTTTGCTGTAGGTCTACTATCGATCTTTGTTTGTTGAATCTTCTAAAGCGTTCAACACCCCGGGTAAAATTTTACTTTGGATTAAGCCTTTATATTTTTCAGCATGGTTCGTGGAAAATAAAAAATAAATAAATTGATAAATACACCCAACACACACCATGTGGGTAACATTAAAGACAGTCGCTTTCGCATCACTTCACCGCGCAGCGTTTGCGAAGTTGGGAAATTGGGTACTACGTTACGAAGTAGCCAATACAGAATCAACTTGCGAACTTCACTCAAAACGTAGTTGTCAACTTTGGCGCGACTGAACTTCGAAACTTCTTATCTTTATTTGAAACCGGGGGGGGGGGGTACTCCCTTATATAAGCCATATAGGTATGTGCCGCCCTAAAGGGTAGGGTTTTTTGGCCGTTTTGGTGTGAAAACGAGTGTAGACTTTTGGTCTGGAATCGGGTATAGTTTACTTGGGAACTATGGGAGTGTGCGAACGTATTTATCGTTTCAATTCCAAATGAGTTTAGAAAGAAAGAAAGAAAGAAAGAGAAAAATGAGAATTCGAAATGGCATTAAGACATCTTTTTTGTTGCTGTTCTAATCTAAGCAATAATTACATAATTACTTTTATTATATGGAGAAGAGTGTTTTACAGGGAACTAAACCACTCGTAGATTCCATACGCCACTTCATCCGGGACCTGAGTGGCCTATTTTCCGTATGTCACCTTTGTGAGTGTCGTACGTTCAATGACGTCACGATTCCCGCCTTTAGCTTTTGTTGAATTGGCTTCTCTCGTCGCGTTTGTTGTTTAGAATAAAAGCATGGCGAGTAGGGTTGCGTCTATCAGCGACGAAGAAGTTAAAGAGTTTACAGAAAAACTTGAAAACGAGAACACGAAGAAGAAAACCTTGTACAACATAAAAGTTTTCAAAGAATATCTTGACGCCTGTGACGAGAAAAGGGAAATTGAAGATATTACGCCCGTGGAACTGCAAGAAATCATCAAAAAATTTGTTCTTGCTGTGCGAAAGAAAAATGGTGAAGAATACGAACCCTCGTCCCTCTGAGCGTTTATCCAAAGCATCGACCGGCATCTTCGCAAAAACAACTATGGATTCTCCGTGCTCAACGACAAGGAATTTCTCGAAGTGCAAGATATTTTAAAGAAGAAACAAAAGCAGCTGAAATCCATCGGGAAAGGAAACCGGCCTAATCAGGGCGGATAAAGGTTGGGCGGTGAAACGAGCGCGTCCGAGCAAAAAGGTGTAATGCAATGGACTGGGACTATGCTTAGAAATGTCGCTTGTTTTCGACTTCCGTTAGGGCTTGCGATGTGGTTTGTCCATTAGACACTGCCGCTGTCACTGAATTATGGCGGCTTGATTTGTTTTCTTGCACTTCTTCCTCGTTTCTTTGTGCTGGCACGTTGTCTCTGAGAGTCAAATGTTGCTATTTTTTGCGGGAGGTTTAATTGGAGTAGACAAACATCTTTTTCAAAGGGTTTCTCTCATGACTCTACAACTGAATTATATTTTCGTTCTACTATTCGCCAATGTCGATCTTATTCCAAAACAAAAACAACTAAGTACTGTCTAAAACACGAAGGAAAATCTCATCCATGTCATCCATGGAAAACCTAAAAGACAACAGATCGTGTTTCAGAACTAGATGACGTGTATTTTATAAATGCGTGCAGCTCGTGCAAGGTGAAATTATGCTAATTTCAATCACCATCATCCTTGTTTTTAATTTTGAAAAAAACGTCTCATACGTCTTTCTGTTTCTTCGAAACTTCAAAATTAGTTTCCCCTCAGTTTTTACCGTTTACCTTCTTTTGTTTTAGAGAGAAAAACGGAGAAAAAACCTTACAACTAACCTCAATAAATTTTGTTTACATGCGGTTGCCGGATTTGCGACGCAATGCGCGAATCGCCATGGCGCGTTGCACCCGAGAAGCAAAGTTTGAAGCAGTACAACGCCACTATATCAAAATATATCAATCTAATTTTTTGTTATCTTATATAAAATTTATCCCCCTTTAACATATGTAAAAACTGAGGTTAAGAAGTGTTAAGCTTGTGCAAACGAAACCGCGAAAGACGATTAGGTGATATTTAGTGGAAGGAGGAGGTATTCAACACTTTCAAATTAAACTCAAATTTTGGCATTATACGACCAGCAAGTTTGACTTATAGGCATACAGACACAAACATATGAAACTGCTTATTGATATTGTTATGAAACGAATTTATCTATTTAACATTGTAGCCTGAAATTACAGAAAGAAAATAGGATTTCCGGTTTGCAAAAAGGAAAATTTCGCCGGCCTTCAAGCGCACCGGAAGCGCGGAAAGAGCGCTCGCGCCAGTCCTACTCCGCATCACACATTAAATGAAGAGCGGAGCGCTCGTTTCACCGCCCAACATTTATCCGCCCTGGGCCTAATGCAGCAGACCCGCTGTCAGATGAAGACATTGACACTTTTTACAGCCGCAAAGTCCTAGGAATTCACTCTCCTAGAGCTCTATTAAATACCCTCTGGATGAACAACTGTACATTCTTCGGTATGAGGCCAGGAAAAGAGTAGAGAGACCTTTGCTGGGGCGATTTGCAATTAAAAACAGATTCGGAGGGAAACTGCTTCATCGAGTTTAACATTGAAAGACAAACGAAAAAGCGTACCGGCGAAAACCCTCGAAATATTAGAGAGAAGAAACCTAAAATGTACGAAGACAAGAGTAACGCAGATCGCTGCCCCGTCAACACCTACATGGCTTACAAAGAGCACCGGCCCACAAGCATGATGACCGATGAATCTCCTTTCTATCTTGCAGTTAATAACGAAAACCCGAAACCTGGTCAAATGTGGTTCAAATGCTCTCTGCTTGGAGTCAACTCCTTGAGAAGCATGCTCAAGAACATGATAAGAGATTCGGGCCTAGAAACAGATAAAAAACTTGTAAATCACAGCACAAGAAAGCATTTGGTTCAGAAGCTGGTTGATAATGACATACCGCCAAACGAAATCATTCAGATCACTGGACATAAAAACGTTAACTCTTTAAACAACTACTCATCTTTATCCGACAACAAACAGCAGCAGATTTTCGCTGTGTTGTCTAATGCTGCCAGTACCAGCCAAAGCTTGTCAGCCGTATCCGATTGAAGAGAACACTAAAGCGGAAAGCTTTTTATCGGGTCCAACTTCGGGAAGTTTATTTCAAAATTGCCAAATCGCAACGGTAAATGTCCAAGTTTATCAGTCCGGTCGAACTGAAAAGTCTTCAAAGATTCGTTGTGAAAAGAAACTGAAAATCACTGTATCTGATGATTCAAGTCAAAGTCAGTAATTTTTTCAGTATTTACGTGTAATATTAGCTCACAGAATTTTGCTTGATAGGGTTTAGTGTTTCTATATACTTGGCACCAAGTACTTTTGTATTTTCTGTTTGCTATAAAGCCCAACCGTATTTGTAAAACTTGACTACCTTGAAACACAATAAAATCGGAAATATTCAGTATTTAGTCTCCATATAATAAAAAGAACATTACACGTTGGCTCGAAGATGACATTATTTGGTCTGAAATACGGTCAGGATTTGGAGAACCGGGTGGCACACCCCCACCAAGAATTCCCAGGAGTACCCCCCGGGCTTTGAAAGCAGTAAACTATTTGCAAAGTGCTGAAACCGAATCCTTTTACTAAACAGGGCAAGGTGTTACCGTGTGAGGTCCGTGACATGATAGTTTGAAAAATGGTTAGAGGGTTCGAAACCATTCAAAAATCAAAATAGCGCAGAAGTTTAATTACCGAGAAAGACAGTGAGAAAAATTGTCGATCAGCTTCTTACGTACAGGGAGCGCTCAGCCTGGAGTTGGTGGGAACAGAGGAACAGCAATGACAGACGATGCTATATTGCAGATTTCTTAAGAGTTGGTTTATACGCAAGAACTCGGAACTTACAGAACGTTACACTGAATTCGAAGTGGCAATTTACAATGCCCAGAGCAGAATAAATCCGTTCATGTCACGGAATTTCTTCAAGCACTGTGGCTATAACGACTGATAAATTTGCGAACTTCCGAGCGATTTAGGTTGTAAATTTTGAGTTTTCATTTGTTTGTCAAGAAATATTTCGAGTATTCCATCCAGTTGCCTGTAGTTGTTTTCTCAACGGAGTTGCTAATAAATGAGTTCAGTTTGCCGTTCCCAGTTTATAGCAAACTCGTACCCAGTCGCTATTTAAGTGTTTTTTGGGGTGACAGAAGATTGGGGATTAGGTTCCTTCTTCCTTTTCCATGAGACCTCGCGCGCGCCTCAACCTAATCCCCAATCTTCTCTCACCCCAAAAAACACTTAAGTAACGACTGGGTACGAGTCTGAGTTTATAGTACAATTTATGTCTCCTCAGGGAGCAGCAAAGGTTAGAGAATTTGAGAAGAAACGTCAACCGAAATCTTCGAAACCGTCTCAGGAAGAGCAATTAACCATATCTATTCTTAGTAACCTAAATACTTTGCCTTCGGAAAGAGACGCCTGAATCACTCTGTCACGTAACGCATAACTTCCAATGTATTTTCTCCAAAAAGGTATTGTCGAGGTGTTTTTTGCAAAAATTTACAAAAAAATGCTCTTTCCATATCCTTGAATTGTTACGGTTTATTGCTATGCAACGGTTCTACTTGTTCTTGACTGTGAAGGTTAGGTCTTTATTTACGACCTGTCTACAAAGATTTTAATCACAGGTACCCCAAGCTCGCGAGTGAGAATCGCTGGAGGTTATATATAACGAAGAACGGTAGTAGTATTGAAGATAGCGGTTCTGTTACACCCTGTCCCGGGGCTCCGCCCCAAGCAGCCTCGCTCTGCTCGGCAGCTCGGGCCGGGCGCCTCCGGGACAGGGTGCAGACAGAACCGCTATCTTCAATACTAACCTCGTGAACCGGCATTGTGGCCAGCGGTCAAAAAATCAAAACAAACAGCGACCCGAGTGTAAACCGGTCGAAACCGGAACCCTTTAAGAGGAGCGCAGGCAGATACTGTCTCGACAACCACAACGAAGCGCCTGTCACAGAGACGCTGCTTCGCAGAAACCCCGCACGCTTGAAAGGCAGCCTAAAAAAATCAAAACAAACAGCGAACCGAGTGTCACAGAATCTTTACTTCGAACTGTTGCTTGACTCGGTTTGTCTGCACACGCAGAAGCGGATTCACCCTGGCAATAAATTTGGGCAGTTACAATCCCGGACAAAACTACTTGAGAAAGTTTTCCCCATCATGTCCACTTTCCTACGCAACAAAACTATTTCCAAAACGACGCCTTTGCAGGAAGAAAACCCCTTCCCCCAATTCAATGTTGCTTCCCACAAACGCCCAGGGATCAGGTTTTCTTTTAAATACACAACAACACTGCTCTCAGGGGAAGGGGGAGAGGGAAGAACAGGTACAGCCACGATTTTTAGAAAAATGCTGTCCAAGTATACAATTTTCTCAACAGTTTTGTCCAAGATTGTGTACAAGTTGATTCGCGTTTTCTCACAAGAATATTTGCAAGGACAAAACAAAAACATGCTAATAAAAAGCACTTTACAGCAGCTGTTTTGAGTACAAAGTTTCACACCAGACCATCTTCTCATAGAAAAGCAAGACCTCATATACGTTTTTTGCAGCACCCTCTTTAACACTGTCAGATTTCGCAATCAGGCCGTGCAACGCGTGCTAATTGTTACATATTTTCCTGTAGTTCCGGAATGGAAAGCTCGGAAAATGTGAAAAGCAATTTATCTTTTTCAGAAGAGTGTGAAAAAGACTTGTATGGCGGTTCTCTTCAAAGAAAAGGAGTTCGTAGTGTTTATTTAGGGACATAATAGTCAATGCGATATGGAACTGTTTTCCGTCACGTGGAAATTGCTTCTCAGAGCTTATAATTGGTTAAACTATGGGTGTTACAGAAACTTTGTTCGTTAAAAGTCGGTTAACTTTTTATGGTAATTCCATGGATAGAATAATATTACGATTAACAAAGCATTGAAACGGTTAACACCATTTCGTTTTCAATAGAGAATGACCTTCTGATTCTTATTAAACTTCCCTGTTAATCGTTGTTAACCGTTGCTAATCTTCGCAGCCGCTCAAAAATGTCCTGTTAATCGTTCCGACTTGCAGATATTGTGGAGAGGAAAAGATTAGAAGTCGACTATGGCAACTTTTATCATGCCTTGGTTCACAAATTATCAATGTAGGTCATAATTTTTTCCAGTCATATGTAACCCGAAGACAAAATGTGCACATTTACAGGTCACGCGATAGTACATCTTGTCACGTTATCGCGCGTGACATTTCTAGATTTCATAGTGTGTTTCTTTGGACTGGATATCGCTACAGTTTAAAAAGTAAGCATTCAAATGTGGAAAGTAAAAATGCAGCTTTTGTAAATGTTTCATTCTGTCTCCATTTGTTGCTTTTATTCATTGCAAGTGCTTGCCCCTTGACTATTTAGGCGATGGGAAAATTGTTCAAAGTTATCGGGTCACGCGCGTTCTGAAAATTTAGCAAAGTTTCATGTGTTATTTGTTGATCGAATCGTAGTGGGTGAAATTCCCGTTTTCTGGCTAATCTGCTTGACGGAAACGTCCTTTTCGTCCTGGAAAAGTGCAATGTATGCCCGCTACTCTTCACTCAAAGCGCGCGTAAAAACCATGCATGGAGAATTAATTTCGCAAACGATCTTAACTGACCAGTGCAATCAAGGAAGACATACCAATTGGTTTTCTTGTCATAAACCCCTCTGTTTTCCACTCATTTTGCATTAATTATCTACTTTTCTTTGAAATGTACTACATGCATAAAGAACAGGTTTATTTGGCTGCGTTAAAGGCTGCAAATCGCCTTTCCCAGTCAAATACAATCCCGGACAAAACTACTTGAGAAAGTTTTCCCCATCATGTCCACTTTCCTACGCAACAAAACTATTTCCAAAACGACGCCTTTGCGGGAAGAAAACCCCTTCCCCCAATTCAATGTTGCTTCCCACAAACGCCTAGGGATCAGGTTTTCTTTTAAATACACAACAACACTGCTCTCAGGGGAAGGGGGAGAGGGAAGAACAGGTACAGCTACGATTTTTCGAAAAATGCTGTCCAAGTACACAATTTTCTCAACAGTTTTGTCCAAGATTGTATCCCTGTGAAATTCATGTTGGAATGAAGGGGTTTTTCCCGTTTTTTATTCAATCAGATTATTACACAAAAGTTGTCCACATTTGCGAAAAAAAAATTGTGAAAAAGTTGTGAGTTTGTGAAAAAGTTTGTGAGTGAATCTTTACGTAATCGGGAAACCCCCGGCGCATCATTAATATGCTTTTTTGAGCAATGTTCCGCTTCAGAGCATAATTGTGTTGAAAACTTTCCTGGTGATATTTGACTTCGTATTGCTGTAGTCGACCCATAGTCTGTAAGGTTTTGAATTTTTTTTCCGTTTGGGTTTGGTCTTAAATAAAACTCACAATTTCTATTTTTAAGATTTTTTTTCTGTAATTTAGCCTAATTTTAAAAACGTGCCATGAGAATAACTACCAAATTGTGGAAAACTCACAATTTCTTTTTTTAAGATTTTTTTTTCTGTAATTTTGCCTAATTTTATAAACGTACCGTGAGAATAACCACCAAATTGTGGAATGAGTTTGAATAAAATTTTTTGAACGGTTTTTCAAGTATATAGCAGCAAATATACACCTATTTCAGTTACGGTTGCTCCCATGAAACATGATGCATGATCCATGCTTCAAAGTCTGTGGTGCACTATGGTAGACCCTTTTGTAGCGGGAAGTTCAGCGCTGTTCACGTTGATTAGAAGAATGGACCCCATTTAAAACTGAAATTTGTTTGAAAGTGTTAATAAACAGGGAGAAAGGCATTTAAGAGAGCTTTCAACTCGACCACTCGGTTGCTACACTTACTACAGCTACTACAGCTATTACACTTACTACAGATACTACTGACACTTACTACACTTACTACAGCTACTACACTCTTACTACAGATACTGCACTTACTACGGATACTGCACTTACTTCCTTTAGTAGTGATCATGACATGGGTGTGCTCCTGGACAATATACGATGTTTTACATGAAGTACACACCGGAATTCAAAAAAAATGTGTCTGGCTAAACAGGTCCGGAGAGGGCAGCTGCTCCCTTGTCCCCCCGCTAGCTACAGCTCTGCTGTTTTTGTTGTTTTTGCGGTAACAAGTCGGAGGAAACCTTGGCGGGGAAATTTTGACATCATCTTTTTCAATAACTTCGGTCTTTATGGGCGATACATCACTGCTATCAAACTGCAGCGTCGACTTAATTGTGCCTGAAGTTTCCTGACAGTCTGAACTAACTCCAGCGGCATTCTTCTTACTCTTAGAAATCAAAATATTCAATTGTTCCGCTTGTTTTTCGGAAATTAGCTTCAGTATAAGATGGCTGGTAACATTATTGACCTCTAAAACTTGCTTTTTAAGGCGAGTAGAATAAGTCGAATAACTATTCAGTTTCCCGTTAAAATATTCCATAAACCGCCTAGTTCAGACATCGGGATGAGCTTCCAACAATTCCCCTAAACTTGCAAACCTATCCAAACTTCTGGGCCTATCGTTTATGTCTTCTTTATTGTTCATTAAAAAAAAAATAACGCTTTATTTTACCACCTGTCTTTCAGATGAATTATGAAGCGATTTTACTAAGTTGAAGATTGATTTTGTCTTGCATAATGAGTAAGTAGTATAGTGATTTCTGTTCAATATCTGTCCAAAAAGTTTTACACATGCCTCGGATCGAGACCCACTAATCATGAGCAAAGTTCGTGATACACCAATCATCAACAACCACGGTGGGCTTATTCACGCGCATATATACGCTTAATGTATGAAAAGACAAAGGGCCAGTTCCCCTGGGACCTCTACTGGGTAAACAAAACATACAAGCTACAGAGGTCTATTCCATTCCATAACCTTCTACATCATCCCTTCCCATCACCCCTGCTATTTCATTCCATACTTTTCTTAACCATCTCATCCTCTCCTATCCCATCTGATCCCTGTCTGTCCCATCCCGTTTATTTAATCTTATTCCATCTCATCCCAATGCACTCCAACCCGAGGTACAACCTATTTCATCCCATCTTATCATTATCATCATTATTATCATAATCATCGTCATCACCGCCATCGTCATCATCATCACTATCACCATCACCATCACCATCATCATCATCATCACCATCATCATTATTCTCCTCCTCATAATTGACCGATGTCTTTCTTTGACCAAAGATGTCAGCTCTGGAAAAGTGAATTGAGTATTCCGCATGATTGGTGTAAGAGAACTGAATAAGGGTAGGAGACCATGAGAGAAGTGGTTGGTGGCTGTGGTAAAAACATTTCAAGTAATTATAGTGAGTCAGAAACTCTATTTTATCATTCTAGCTTAAAAGCTGCGCAAATAGTAACTTATGAAACTTTTTCCCCAGGTTTTAGTCTGATTCAGCAGTTGAAAATAGTCTTGGAGCAGTACCCGGATGATGGACAGATTCTGAAGGTGAGGCAAAGGTTATTAAAATACTCATTAGCGCCAGCCTGGTATATGAAATATTACTCAACATATCAATCGTGCCTCCTTCCAAAGAGGTTGAATTGTGAAACATTTGGTAGCAGACCACTTTCATGTCTTGATGACGTATCGCCCCGGACCCGGTTGTTCAAACGTTACATAGCGCTTTTGACCGGATAAATCTATGCAACGGATAAGTATTAGGAAAACCAATTGCACTATCTAGTGGATAGAGATTTATCCGGTAGATAGCGTTATCAACCTTTTGAACAACTGGGGCCAGATGTTAGATAATTTATAGCGGGGGGCGCATTGGCCTCTTGTGCAATAAAAATGTAATATATAGATTTAGCCAGGGCTAAAAGCGAAGCTCCCGTTAATAAATTCATAATTTAAATCAAACAATAAACTTGTAATCCACAGATCAGGGCACATTCATTTGACTTTTGAGGCAAAGGCTGAGTGATTTTAGAGAAAAATCAGAATTTGACCGTCAAGAGTGAAACAAATTTTACATCAAGTTATTTGTACACCGAAAAATAGCAATCATGTTCGATCACAGTAGATTAGGCCTGGAAAACAAATAGAGCTATTCGTGTATTGTATTTGCATTAGCTGTAGCATCATAATGTGGCATTCACCAGTCTCTCCAACGTTGCTCCGTTAGAGAGACTATGGATAATTGGACAACCCCGAAATATAATTTTAAGAAACACATACGCCACGATAGTCCTTGGTGCCAGCCAATTTACACGTTGCATTCCTCTGTCTAAAAAAGAGGCCAACATAAAAATCAGGCCGGATTTTTTGTGTTCGACAAGTTTAGTTTACTAGTAAATCTTGGCGACGAATCTGGTGGCGTGTAAACCAGCCTTTTAAACATACTTTTTCTCATCACGTCTCAGGTAAAAAGTACACAGACCTCGGACAGAAGTTGTTCTTTTTTGCCCTATTTAAACCCATAATTCTGCAGTTTTTCACAATTTTGCAAGAGCATTTGCACTCATTCAATATCCACGACGATCAAAGCACGCGCTTCCTTTGCTCAGCAAATTATAGCATTGAATTATAAAACGTTTTCTGTTAGAAAAATCTGGTCCTATTTGATATGCGGGGTAATAATTATGGGCTTTTTATGAAAACGATAAAAAAAAATTCCCAAATTCACTTTTCGGCCAGCCGGACGGGTTCTCACTTTTGACAGGCACCAAATTTGCAGTGCGATTAATAGAGTTACCATTTACGCTTCAACATGATAGAGAAATTGTTATGTTTAGGTTTTATTTCCGTTAATTCATTAAACTGTGTATGATTTTGTTATGTGTAATCTTTAAAAGCGAGTGATATTTACGCGCGGCGTTTTGAGTATTCCTACATGGGATGTTCATGTTCAACTGGAAACAACCAGGGACTACTAACAATCAATAAAATAAATTTAATTCAGTGAAACATGTACAGAGACAATCACTTTCATTCACGAAGAGAAGTATTGAGAGTAAAGTGTCTCCGAAAATCATGAGTCAGGCAAGCATAAGCTTATTTATGTTTTAAGCCAGCTTCCCGGTGTTCGCTCTTTTTCAAGATGAACTCGAGGCACGAAAATCGCTCAGAGCTTTCTGTTTACAGCCAAAATCATAACTAAATAATCTTCGGAACCTTTTCTTTGAATTTGCGGGTCAAAAAATGTCTAAAGGCTTTTTAAACCTGATACTATTGTAGGTTAGATCATTGCTCGTGTTTTAACTTAAGCCGCATAAACCATACGCTCGACTTCAGGAAACCGAAAAAAAAGAAAAATCAAAAACAATAATGGCTCAAGCTTACCAGTCGAGATGCTGCTTCTGAAGGTCATCAAGTGTTCCAGAATCGCTTGAGACTTTTCAACCTTCTTACGCCTCAAGCAAGGGCAAGTGAGTAAGCTCATTTTTGGAAACGATGCCATCCGAAATCGGATTTCCAATGACTTTGACAAGCGGTGCATTTGTCAACAAAAAGCACAATAAACAAACCAGCCACGAATTACAGAACAATCTTGATAGCAGCTGTATTTCATTTTGTACACCAAGTAGAAAAAGATAGTTTAAAACATCACAAGATGACACAAAACTCTCTCAGCTCCAGCTATCAGTAAGCAAGTTTCCAGACGCTGCAAAAATTTTCCCCGTAAACTCACCTGTCAAATTTTGACCAATCAGAACATAAAAATTGGACGTAGAGCGTGATCAACGCGTGACAGTGAGAAAAGTCAAAAGCGATTGCCTTCCCTGCATGTAAATGTAAAAGCCGGTTGAATTTTCGTGTCCGAGATCAGTTCGAAATCAACATTTTAAAAGTGCCACTCATGAAACACGACTCATTTCATATGCATTTTAAAAAAATTGAACTTGAGCCTACGATCATTTGAAAAGTAGCAACTTGTCAAAATAAGTAGCAACCTTCAAAATATTACTCGAACTCAGAGGGTCGATACCTGAGCCCGCGATACGGTCAGGCGATACTGGTCAGCAGAAACACTGTTTTGACACCTGTCAATTAATCAAAACATGGATGTACAATATCAGGTTGCAGGCTCTTAAACTAGCTAGAAAGTGTGAGATTAAACATTGGTATGCCTGTGGTGCGGACGGACGGAGGGTCGGGTGGTCGGTGTACGGTCACGTGATTGCCGAATTTTCTAGGATGGATAGATTTTCTATAAAGCTATGGGGCTTCGAATTGAGCCCGTGGTCAAATAAAATACCAGCGCAAAACTTTAAACACTACGTGACCTCAATAGATAGAAAAATGAGCCCGCGATCCACTCAGGCGATGATGGTCATCGTATACTCTAGTTTGACAGCTGTCAATTAACCTTCATTAGAATGGCGAATATTCGAATTATCAGACTACGGGTGTGAGTAGGACATTTCCGTCTGGCATGTAGTGGAAAATGCCAGATCGTGTACCTGAGCGAACCTGAGCCCTCGCTATTAGTTTTCTGATAGCGGTCTACACATGTCCCATTTTGACAGCTGTCAATTGACCTTAATTTGGCCTGCCAATGTACCTTTAAACGACTCTCAGCCAACTGACAGCCTTGCCCGGCGTAGTTTCGTTTTTATGTTGAATTGGTAAGTGTGACATATTATATCAGCTTATATATAGGGGCAAAACGACTGGTTTTTTATCTGAGCCCGCGAGACGGTCATGTGATAATTGTCAGCGGATGTCTGATTTTGACAGCTGTCAATCTAATCGTACTCATACGGATGGCTTACATAACTAAGAGGCTAGTCAAGTTGTGCAAGATCTATTGTGACATTTGACATCGGCTTACATGAAGTGTGTGTACGGACGGGCGTACGCTACGTCATAACCAAATTTTCTGGGATGGATAGTTTACCAAATTTTCTTACCCATGGTGCTCCGCTGCGCGCGCGCTTCGCGCGCGCGGGAGCTCCGCTATCAAGCCTTTGTTTCTTTTCCCTATTCTCAAAAAAATAAATAAATAAAAACGCTTGATGGCAGTCTGTAAAGGTATATAGAGGATAATAATACATGGCCGCGCGGAGATACAAAATTTATCTTCGAGTGTTGAAAAATATTTCACGAGTGGGCGCAGCGAACGAGTGAAACATTTTTTCAACACTAGAAGAGAAATTTCGTATCTCCAAGCGGCCATGTAATGTTCTATTTATTATATAAACATCGGCTCCTGATAAACACCAATGAACTACCAAACGATTTCACTTCATAGTTTTTTTGATGTGAAAGGCCCGATCTATTAAGTAGCCTTAGCAACGGTGATATTTTGACAGGTGAAGATATCAAGTTTTCGTGCGAAAGCTCACTGGGTATTTCATTGGTGTTTATATAATAATTAAAAATATCTAATGAATACTTAGCTGGGTTTATTTGTATCAGGAGCTCATTCAAAATGCAGAAGATGCTGGTGCAAGTCAAGTTAAATTTCTTCATGACCGTCACAGCTATGGAAAAGAAAAACTACACAGCAAGGAACTCGCTAAGTTTCAGGTCAGCCTACACTGTCTACTACCTATCTACTTATTTATCAGTTGGTATTAATCTGCAACAGTTTTTAAGAGCCCTGGCCCAATTTTACAACTTTATTTAAGACCCAACGACGTCATATCGGGGAAAACTACTAAGGGAAAAGAAAAACTCAAAAAAAATTTTTTGAGTGCAGTTTATGTGCTTATTTCACGACTAAATAAGCGAAAATGTGTTACTCACGACTACCCGCGAGTAGCTTCAAAGAGTAAGCTCTGTTATGGGAAGAAATAACAGCTCGATCCGTGTAGTTTTCGAAGAAATGGGAGTTATTTGGTCAAAGTGTAGGTTCCGAATTGAAATGTAAATTATCATTCCTTTTGCTTTTTAAGTTTCTACTGCTTGAAAACATGGTGCAGCAAAACTTACAACTCTATTGCTCTCTCAATTACAAAACTGTTGCTCTTTTTAAATCAGCTATCTAACTGTAAACGCAATATTCTTAACAGGGACCCGCACTTTATGCTTACAATAACGCCGAGTTTAAGCACAGGGACTGGGAAGGTATCAGAATGCTTTTCGAGAGCGAAAAGGTCAAAGATCTAGTACAAAAGGATTGTTTTGGTCTGGCGTTCAAGTCGGTGTTCCATGTTACAGGTAAGAACGCGCGTTCACTGAGGCGGTTATTTATTTCTTTCTCTTAACCGCAAAATTAGCCACCAAGAGACCCTAAAAAACGTGCATTAACTTCAATTTATACACCAATACATTCTAAAAAGGAAAAGTCAGAAGCTATAATTTAAGAATAATGCAAGAATGTTTTTAGCCTAAAATCGGCAGAACAATAAGAATATTCAGCCTGGGCAGGAAAAACAACATTCTCTTTAAAAGAAAGAGTGTACTACCTTTTTTCAATACACTAGTAGTTCATCCAATGTGAATGACAACAGCGTGTGATATTAAAATAGGTTCACTTTGTTAATGTTGTGCTTGCTCAAGTAACAATACTTCATCTCTAGTTGATTCTCATATGGCATTCTTACTTAACCACAGATCTACCAAGCATCATGAGCACCTCGCAGATCGGCATAATTGATCCACACGAGAAATGCTTTGGAGAAAGACGTACAGGATACAGCTGGGACACAAGAGATGACAGTGATATCATGAACACCATACCAGACCAGTTTGCTCCTTACAGGGGAGTATTTGACGACCCAGAGGACATTTTCACCACCGGCTTATACAAGGGTACTCTTTTCCGCTTTCCACTACGAACTGAGCCGTCTAAGTTATCAGAGACTTTGTATTCTGCCGAAAAAACTAACGATTTGTTCAATAGCTTCATGGCTGATGCCCACTTGGTTCTACTGTTTATGCAGCATCTTGAAAGTATTGAACTGTACGCTCGTGAAGAGTTGGAAAGGGAACCCAGAAGAATGTTTCAAGTCAGAATATCCGAAGAAAGCCTTCCGTTGGTAAGAGAAAAGAGAAAGGAGTTTCAAGAAGCAATCCCTAGCGGTCAGCTTTTACCCCACTCAGTCCAAGTCACTTATCCAATTACGATTGAGACAGTACAATATCACCAAGGGGTAGAAGCAGGCAAATACAGTCATTCGTACCTTGTAACCAATTACGTTTGTGGCGGAGATTTATCGTCTGAATTTCAAGCGCTTGTTGTGGATCCAAGTCTCAGCTACCTCCCAAAAGTTGGCGTTGCCATGGCACTGCCCTCAAGTCCCCAGGATTCCGTCCCAGAAATTCAAGGTCACGTGTTTTGTGTCTTGCCGTTACCGGCGCAAAAGACCAGTTTGACAGGTTTGGCGGTTCATGTGAATGGCTTCTTTGCCCTGACTCAGAATAGAGGTCAAATCAAGTTTCCCACCGCAGAACAGGAAGGTCAACCTTTAACTGACAAATCCTTAAAATGGAATCAGTGTCTTTTAGAGGAGGCCATACCCCAAGCCTATGCCACGATGATTTTAGAAGCCATCAACGCCAAGAGCTTCAAAGTGCAGGCAGCGGCCGTTTACCAGTAAGTGATAACTGTAAGAAACTGTAAAGCCAGGTGTCAATTAATTTTAATAAAACTTTCACAAGTGTAATTTTCAAGTGGAGCTATTGTTTTGATGTCTGAAAACAATAGTTACACTTGTGAATGACGCTTGTAAAAATTTTATTAAATTGACTCAATGTAATAAATCTCATCCATGAAACAGTATTCTACTTAAATTGGAAAACCAATAGCTGCCTTACCTCTAAGAATCACTAAAGCTAAGGCTTTCATATTATCGCTGCAATTGTTAAAATAGACTAGCTATTTTAACGATTGTCGAAGAGTTTTGTCCATACAGTCGAACCTCCACTAACGCCATCTCTCCACAACGGCCACTTTCTTTTGTCCCGGCGGGGAGTCCAAACATTGACTCTATTTTATACCTCTCTACAACGCAACGGCCACCAACGCCTGTCACTAACTGCTAAATAACCTCTCGACAAGTCAGCGACTGATTAAAAAGTCAAGAATGGTCATAAAATTTGATCCGTATGGCACGTCGTGGTGGGCAATTGTATTTTGATTTTGTTTCATGTATACTGTTGCAGTAAGCATAATTTGTGTACGATACTTATTGCGAATGTTTTTGTGTATCTTATCTCTCTATATTATTTATGACTGTATTACCATTATGGGACTCAGTAACCATGACATTAGCACAATAACCACGTTATACTCTTCCAAAAAAATTTTCATATTATACCCTTACCTCCCCATAACGGCTGCCTCCCCACAACGGACACCTTCTTCTGCCCCAAAGGTGGCCTTTGTGGAGAGGTTCGACTGTATATTTGCTATGTTCTCTGGACATATTTCTCTGAGTTCCTAGTCATCATAGGACACCAGCAGCCTTAAGGAGACAAACCGTAGCGATATTTCATTATGCGGCCTCCAACGAAATTTTATTGGCCTTTGTCATTGCACCCATTACCTTAACGGCTTTAATTTTTCATTTTTAACGATGATGATTCATTTACTTTGTTAAAGAGCGTGGCCAGATTTCATACGAGTCAACCAGAAATGGAAGAGCGTTGTAGAACCATTGTTTCAGATCCTGAAAGACAAGGAAATTGTCTACACCAAAGTCAATGGGGGAAAATGGCTTCTTGTTGAAAATGCAATTTTCAACCAGGTACCTGAAAAACATCTTAAAGAGCTACTTGAAAGTGTCTTGCTTGCAGCAAATGTTCCAGTTGTCTCTGTACAAAGCTACGTTATAGATGCCATCAGCTCTTTTGCCGACGCTAAGGATATCAAGAATATCACAGCTAGCGTCATGAGAAAAGAGATGAGAAACGCTTCAGCTTGTTATAAAAACCTTATGAGGCATGAAAAACTGCAGCTTCTTCAGTTCTGTTTACAAGATCACCAATATGAAGACCTTTGTGGCCTGGAGCTTTTGCCTCTCTCCAATGACACATTTACCACCTTTTCAGCCCTTGCCCATGAAATCTACATAAGCTCGCCTGAGCATTCTCAAGATCTTCTACCTGGCCTAGAGCACCGCTTCTTAGATGGAACGGTGGATTCAGAAATCCGTCAAAAGCTGAATTGCGCAGCCAGACAAGGTCAGTCAAAGTACAAGGTAGCACTGCTTGGAGACTCCTCTTGGTGGATGACACCATTTACCGAGGGAAAATTTTTCAGGATTTATCTTTAGTGCAAAATTTCATGCCCTAGTCATCTCGCCTGCCTTAATTCTTGGCGCTAATTTTCTGGTTTTAAATCGGATTTAAAAATACTAGGTTATCCGTTGGCGACTCCTTTTTATCCCGTTGAACAATGTAGTAATTAGAAAATTTGAGTTTGGAAATGATTAATCTCCTTCATAACCGTACTAGGTTAATCTCATTAAATGCATATATGGTCCAGATGATTGATACATTGTGTACCAAGCTACCAGTACCAATTTGGTTATTAGCAACGCCATGATATTATCTTTTAGTAGTTTTTTTTTGTTTCGTGGTGACATACAAGAATGTCAATGCCCATCTTTTCAATGATTCAGAAGCTGTGTCTTGTTAATAGTTACCTTAATTCAAAGGGAGTATCTGAAAACAGTAGACAATTTTGACAGCGGCAGGCACTCCCTCTTTACACTAATGATTTTCTTTCATAGAATGTACCCAGCTACGACTTCTCGCCGAAAACGACGTGATAGTTCTTCTTAAAGAATCTCTGCCTTCCGACTGGAGTCAAGGAAAAACTGTCCTGTGGCACCCAGAAGACAAAAACCACAACCATCCCCCAAGAGACTGGATCAAGCTCGTTTGGAGATACGTTCGCGACCATTTCTCTACTGCAGAGAGGCTTTACCGACTTCAGAACTTTTCCTTAATTCCAGTCAGCATGAAACAGTCAACTGTTACTTTGAGGCCACTTACTCAGCCTTCAATAGTCGTGATTAAAAGCTTGGGTGGGGACGTTATCAATGATGCTTTGATGCATGTCTTGACAAAGATGGGCGGGGCTGTCTTGACTGATTGTCCGGACTTTATACTTGATCACCCCTCTGTCTTGGATACCTTTATGCATCGTCCCAATGTCCAAGGTATTTTTGAGACAATAGTGAACTTAGACTCCAAGTTCACCACTAAAAAGTTGTCCGAAGTCGTGAGAGGGGTTTCTCCAGGAGAAAAGCGAAGTTTGAGATCGTTCCTTGGTAATATTAAACCAGGGCAGGTAGGAAAAAAAGAAAGCAATCTCATGTGCTCTCTTCCGATTTTTGAGACGTTCTCCAAAAGGTTTGTGTCCAAAAATGAAGGTCTGCCAGCAGCGGGTATCGAGTCTCTTCCCATTCAACCAAGACAGGAACTCATTGACATTTCTCAAGAAGAATCTAGGAGTCTAGCTCTCCTTCTTGAAGTCCGGATTCTGAAACCAACAGAAGTGCTCTGCGAAACAGTATTTCCTGACATCCAAAACGGCAAGTATAATGGAGGGCAGATTGATAAGTTAATGTCCTATGTGCTCACGTATTTTGCAAACACCATTCGTTCCGATGCTTTCTTCAAGCGGGATATGCAAGCGTTGCCATTCTTGCCAAAGGCAAATAAGAGTCCTCGGGTGAAGACATCTGATGTCTTTGATCCCAGAAGTGAGAGCTTAAGGAAAATATTTGTCACCGAAAATGTTTTTCCCGTCGGCCAGTTGTATAACGATCCCATCGTCCTAAATGTTTTGGAAGAAATTGGAATGAAAAACGAATCCAATATCACAGTGAAAGACCTCTTTCGAAGCGCTTTAAACGTTAGTGTGCTTTCAGACCCTTCAACAGCAAGAGAAAAGTCTCATGCAATTTTGCAGCATCTTGAACGTCATCCACAGAAACTTAAAAGCAAAGTTGATGGAGAAGAGTTGGGATCGCTACTGATGAAAATCCATTGGCTGCCACTGTTGCCCCAGAAAACGTCAAACCTTCCGCCCTCACTCCCGTGGTTTGAAAAAGGAAAAGGAGAAAGACCCTTTTTCAAGCCTTCTGAACTGAAGAGCCCTCAACTGATCAATCTCATCGGCACGGTTAAACCGGTTATGGACTTTGAGTACTCGACTGAAGTCGCGGGTTACTTTGGCTGGCTGAAGAAACCAGACGTCTCTGATGTAGTTAAGCATTTACGGAAGGCAGTCAGGCATTACAATGAGGAAGAGAAGGCGTATTACAGGGGTTTGGTGAACGAAGTCTATTCGTTTTTGAGCAGTGCAAACTATGGTGAAGTCTCAGAAGCACTAGAATATTCACAGTTCAACTGGGTGTGGAATGGAGACGGCTTTTCCTCCCCTAGCCACATGCTTGCCATTGATCCGGGCATTAACCTCGTACCCTTCATTCGCCTTCTTCCTCCGGAGATGATGAAACACTCTCAGATGTTCTCCCACTTTGGCATGCGGACAAAAAGTGATCCATCTCTTCTATTGCAAGTTCTTGACTTGATAAAAGACAAGTACGTTGATTGTAATTCCCCATTTGCAGCCTCTGAAGTAAAACACGATCTCCAGTTATCGGTCGACATTTTGAACGAGTTGGCAAGTGAGGAATTATCGCGTGAGGTCCAGAAAAGGATTCTTCTTCCTGTCCGTGTAAAGGACAAATTGAAAGTTCAGCTTGCACCAGTCGAGCACTGCATGTACAGTGATCAAAAAGAGGGGCTGCACAGTGAAGGTGAGAATGGAGAGCCAAAATACTATTACGTGCATTCTAATGTACCTAACGACACTGCTGTTCGACTTGGTGTACCATCGTTAACACATAGACTGTTGGACCCTGATGAGCTATCCATTGAAGAAGAGTTTGGACAGGAGGAGAAGCTTACTACTCGATTGAATCGACTTCTAGAAGACTACAATGATGGTCTTTCAGTGTTAACAGAGCTCGTGAAAATCGCAGATGCTGCTGGAGCCACTGAGGTTAAATTCCTGTACGACGAAAGAACCAACAAGGATGCCATGACCTGTCTCATTGACGAGGGAATGAAAAAATGCCAAGGTCCTGCTCTCTGGGTTTACAGCGATGCAACATTCAAGGATGAGGATTTTGTTAACATCACAAAGCTTAATGAAGCAACCAAAGTGCATTACACTGAAAAGATCGGTAGATTTGGACTTGGTTTCAACGCAGTGTATAACATTACAGATGTGCCAATGTTTGTAAGTAAGAACTATTTTTTCATACTTGATCCTAACACATCTCACCTGGGAACTGCTATCAAGGACACAAGAAAGCCAGGTATGAAGATTAATCTCAACAAAAACGTCAGAAACCTGCAGACCTTTAAAAATCAGTTTAAACCATTCAATGGCGTATTTGGCTGTGATTTGAGCCTTGACAGGGAAGACTACTCGTACGATGGTACGCTATTCAGATTTCCATTGAGAACAAGGGAACAGGCAGCAGTCAGTGAGATCAGAAAAAAGTTTTACGACGAACACGAAATAAGGAAACTGTTTGAAATGTTTCTCGAGAAAGCGAACACGGTTCTTCTTTTTACGCAAAACGTATTCCGCGTTGGAATGTACTTTTTACCAAAATCTTTGGAACAGAATATACAACCGTTGCCAATGTTTCAGGTCAACAAATCACTCGCCCAAGGAGGAATACTGAGAGAACTGTCTTTCCCTATCGCACTAGCAGACACCTCGAACAAACTAAGTGCAGAACAGAAGAAGTTGTTGGTGCAGTCTAATTTTTTTCAAGCATCATCCAAGGTTAAAATACTTTCCAAGAGTAAAAGAGTCAAACCAACTGAATTCCCTGAATCATCCATTGTCGTTGATGTGGAATGTGTTTTAACTCAGTGTGGAGTTAGTTTTTTCAAAAAGAGAAGCCCCCTGGAAGAAAACGTGAAAGCTGGTTGATTGTGTCCTCAATGGGGTGTGGAGAGTCTTTGAAGTTTTCTGAAGGCAATCCTAATCTTCTTCCGTCCGGGGGGGTAGCTGCTCAGCTATTTAGTTTGGATTGCAACACCTTTTTGCCCACACCAGCAAAGAATGGAACGGTTTTCTGCTCTCTTCCACTACCGATTCACAGTGGCCTGCCAGTTTGCATAAATGGTGAATTTGCAGTAGATTCTAACAGGCGTCGTTTGCAGGGCAAACTTAAAGACGACAAGACATGCTATGGCGAGGAATGGAATAATGTTCTAATGACTGATTCCATATCTACTGCTTATCTGTGCCTCCTTGAGGACCTTAAGAAAATTCTCCCTGAAGACGGATCTTATGTTTTTCATTCACTGTGGCCGAGGGCTTCTGACGTAAGCGAACAATGCTGGTCTATTACAGAGTCATTCTACAAGCATATTGCTAATGGATCTCATGCTCTGTTTTCCAATGGAAAAAAATGGGTTGACATTACTCAAGTGGTTTTTCTCCATCCAGAACTTCGAATGGATCCTAAAATTGGAAAAATTTCGTTTGCTGTCTTTTGTAACTTCCCTAAAGGAAATGACGTGGTGATTGATTTGCCAGCCGAAGTATTCCAGTCTTTTGAACGGTGTGATCTGTTTAATGTCCTAAGAGGTAAAACATACGACAGGCTTCGATTTTTCCGTGATGTTTTCTTTCCAAACATTACAAGGGTTACTTCAGACCAGCGGGATGTTCTTGTGCTGTATGCACTAAATCAAAACAACGAGGAGTTGGAAGACTTGATAATAAACAACGCCTGCATTCCAGCTTCACCTGATGGAAAGATTCTCAAGCGGCCGAGACAGTTAGTGAATCCCAACAAAGAATCTTCCTCGTTGTTTTCCCCAGACGATGGTAGGTTTCCCTTTGGCGAGGAGAATACATTTCGCAACCCACAAGTGCTTGCCAAACTAGAGGTACTTGGAATGAACTCACACGATCTTCCTTGGGAAGATATTGCAGAAAGAGCCGAGAGTGTCCAACACGTTAATTCAGTGGATAGTAAGGCGGCAGTTAAGCGTACTAAGTTTTTGATAGAATTCGTACAAAAGAAGTTAAAGGTGAAAGATAGAGACCCTTCGGAAGGAGTCATTTCTCGTATTGTCAAGGCTGAGTTTCTCCCAGTACTAGGGAGACCGAAATCATTTCCCCTTCACTGGAAAAGCGAAGATTATCAAATTTCTCGAAGGCTTTTTGCAGCCCCTAAGGATGTCTTTCTTCCTTCGGACAAATACCTGGTGTGTTGTACGGAGTTAGTTGTCGACCTAGACATCCCCAAGAGGGCGACAGAATTGCTTAGATTACTTGAAAAAAGAGTTACTACAGAGCACGTGATAAAACAACTAAGCGAAGCCATTTCCGCCAGCATTGGTACAATGGATCGTAAAAGTTTAGACGAAGTGAGCTGCGTTTGCACAGAGGCGTATTCTTTTCTACAAGAAAATATTGCCAACTGTACGTCATCCGTTAAGGAATTCCTTTCTACGAAGCCATTCGTTTTAGTTGGAAGGCGCTTTCTGTCCACAGATGAGGTCGCCTTTGAGGTGAAGACCGATTGTTCTCCTTTCCTTAATAAAGTTCCAGAAGATTTATCCGATTCTTACGCCAAACTCCTGAGATTCAGTGGTGTTAGAGAGCAATTCGAAGCGAAGGACTACATTTCAGGTCTTCGAAAAATAAAACAACAGTTTGCAGAAACAAAACTCGATGAGCAAACCTTGCAAGTGGCAGTCAATATGGCTATCGAACTTGGGGAGACTGTGAGACATTGTTCCGAAGAATGGTATTCCGAGGAGGAAAGCTCCATTTGTATTTATCTTCCTGATTCCGGTGGGAGAATGCTTGCAGTGGCTGACCTTTGCTACAAGGATTGTCTCTGGATGCCTGATGATCCAGAGGAACAGTTCCTTTATGAAGAAATTCCCTGGTCGACCTGTGAACAACTGGGAGTTAAAACACGCCGAGAAAGGGTCTTGCAACAACACGATATTGGCTTTCCTTTTGGGCAAAAGGAAGAGCTCACAGATCGATCGAAACAGATTTTGACAGGCCGCCAAGGCGAGAAAGAGCTTTTAAAAGAGCTTCTTCAGAATGCAGATGATGCACAAGCAACCGAAATTTGCTTCATCAAGGATCCTAGACACCACCCTGATGAAAGAGTGTTCCAAGAAAGTTGGAAGCCTCTGCAAGGTCCTGCACTTTGTGTGTATGTCAACAGACCGTTTACCAATGCGGACATTGAAGGAATTTGTAACCTTGGCAAGGGCAGCAAAGGAGAAGATCTAAACAAGACTGGTCAGTATGGATTCGGGTTTAATGCTGTGTACCACGTGACTGATGTGCCGTCATTCAGGTCGAAGGGTGAAGAAACTGGAGATGTTTTCTGCGTGTTTGACCCTCACTGCAAGTACGTTCCGTGTGCGAGTGATGCAAAACCAGGAAGAATGTACAAAGACATCGATAAGTTGAAGAAAAAGTTTCCAGATGTTTTTTCCTGTTATCTTGAAGAGTTGTTTGCCATAAAGAATGCAACAATGTTTCGATTTCCGCTGAAGTCACAGGAAATGGCTGAAGAATCCAAAATATCAAAGAGACGTGTTTCCGTGCATCAACTCGATGGAATGATGAGAGATCTGAAGATGGAGATGTTCGACGTTCTTCTGTTCGTTAACAATGTGAGCAAGATTAGCATTGCAGAGATAGACAGAATTGAAAAACTGGCAGAGTTCTACTCCGTTGAAGTTGTTATGACTCAAGAAGATGAGAGGATAAGGCAATGTTTCGCTGATTACATGAATCAAGTTGAAAAGCAAGCCAAACACGAAGATTTCCTCCCTACAAGTATACAACCGAAAAAGTGCATTTACACCATGACACTTCGTGACAGCGCTGGTGAGGAGGAGACTTGGTTGATTGTTCAGCAGGTCGGCTTTGATAAGCCTGTCGAAAAGAGTATTGTTGAAGCTCTCAGAGAGAAAAGCCTTGGGATGTTACCTCGCGGTGGTGTGGCTTGCCTTTTAAGCAGCAACAGGCCATCCGAGCAGCGAAAAGATAAAGAAGGTAAAGCGTACTGCTTTCTTCCACTACCCTTCAGAACTAATTTGCCCGTTTATATAAATGGTCACTTTGCTTTGGACCATAAGGCCAGAAGAAATTTGTGGCGGGATGAAGATGGTGGCTATCGGAGTGACTGGAATAAAGCCCTGCTACGAGATGTGATCACCTCCTGCTACCTCACTCTCCTGGACAAGGTACGAGGATACATTCAGCTGCCAGTTGGGCAGGATGTTGCAGGTCAATATTCCATCTTTAGCAAAAGTGAGATCAAGAAAAGGCTAACTTCCTATGAAAGCCTTTTCCCCAGGTACCCCTTTGAAGATTCTCACTGGAAGACGTTAGCTGATTCCGTGTACCAAGAAATGACCAAGAAGAAGATGCGCTTAATTCCAGTAGTGAGGTCTTTGAAACAAATGTCAGATGCCCGTGCTAAAAATTTGAAATCAGAAGTAACCTGGTTTCCCCCGCAAGGCACAGGCAAGAACCAAGTATTCTTCAACAATCTCGAAATCGAAGGCTGCTTTGCTTCACTTTGTCTAAGGCCAAGTATTGAAGAGGAGCAAAGGAGAAAGAAAGAGGAAGCCCGGATTAGGCGAAAACAGCAATTCGAAGAAACGATGCTACGAACTGGGTTCAATTTAGTGACACTATCAATCACCGTCTTCCGTTCATTCAAAGAAGCGGGAGTAGAGGTTTGCTGTCTATGTCCTCTTGTTGTTATGGACTTCTTCAAGTCGTTTAATGATGTAAATCCACTTTGCAGTATTGGCGAGATCCCGTTTCCCATTGACAAGACTCCATTCAAGGACAAAGGGGCAGTAATTGGCATTCTAAAGTACTGTAGGGCTGATGAACGTTTTCTGGAGAATATCGCAGGTCTTCCATTGCTTGTCACACAGGACAACTACCTACGCGTATTTAGCGAGAAAGAACCTCGGTGTTTGAGTCATTTTTACGATATTTTACCACACTCTCCGTCATTATTTGTGCACAAAAGAGTCCACTGCGAAGTTTTCAACACTGTTGATCTTAAAAGAGCCCGTGTATTCCGACCCCTGGATGTGCAAATACTCTCGACAAATTTGCACCTTACACTTCCTGAATGCTTCTGTAGCGAGGATCGCTATATGATGTGGTCTCCTGAAGATCCAAAATCTCCCTTGCCGAATCTTCGCTGGATTTACAGAGTCTGGGACTTTTTGGAGAGATTTACCAGCAAAACATTGAGGGAATCCGACGTAACAAATGAAAACAAAACTTCGTTCATTCGTGACCTGCTGAAGCCGTTATCTAAATGGAGCATTCTTCCAGCAACAGAGACAAACCAGTTGGTAGATCATTATTTGGTGCCTCTGAGAATGGCGGAGTCGGTTATTGATTTTGGTGATTGTGGTCAATCAAGCAAGAAGTTGGTCGAGGCTTTAAGAGGTTTGACATTACCTGAACTTAACTCAGCTGTGATGGAATCCAACAGCGTTGATGAGTTGTCCTACACGAAGACGGATTCATACATTTTCGCTTGTTGTCTCGTAGCGACGTTGAAGACACCTCATTCGCTTCTAACGGTCCTTAATCAGAAACGCAAGACGAATCCCGACTCCCTTAGTGATAAACTTAAGTGCATGGAAGCTGAAAGCATTCTTAATTACTTTAGCCGCAGTGTCAAGGATTTAGTAGACGACGACAAAGAAACACTAAGAAACCTTCCTTTCTTTCCAGTGGCGGGCGGAAGGCTTGGATTAGTACAGGAAAGAGACGTGTTTGTTCTACCTGCTGAGATCCCCAAGGACGAGATGGATGCTGTGGAATCCAGATTTGGCTGTTTGTTTCTAGAGCCTCGTCAAAGTTTGTTAGACTTGTATGAATTCCTCGGATTTCACCAATTATCACCTGCAAATGCATATCTAAAATTCATTTTGAAATGTTTTCAGCATCTTAGTTTAGAAGGAAAATTGACCCATCTTCGATACCTTCGGGGTTTGGTTTTCACGGCAAGTGTACCAGGGAAGGAAGACGAAGCAATTGAAAAGGAACAACTGCTAGACTATCTGAAAGTAGTTCCATTTATCCAAGCAGTGGATGGCTTCTGGAAGACAGCGTCTAGTTTCTACGACCCCCGGAATGAAGTTTTCCGTACTATGTTATCAGCGGACAGTTTTCCACGGGAAATTTTCAACACTAACGAATTGCTGCCCTTTTTGGAGAAGATAGGCCTAATTACAGATGTTTCACAAGAGGATTTTGTGAAGTTCGCTCTCCAAGTCGCAAATGAAGCTGAATCAGCACGCACTGAAGAGACCTACAAGAAGTCCGAAGTTCTAGTGCATAATCTTATCTCCTGGCCTAATGTTGTAGAAAAAGGGCTCTTAAATCGAGTTCGTAGCATTCCTTTTGTGGCGCCAGAGCCAGTAAGAGAGTCGCTAGAAGCACTATGTCTACCATTTGGTGAAATGAAGAACGGCCAAATTCCATTTATTCCATTCAGTGGTGCAGTACCAATGGATTATGAAGAAATCGTATGGACCAAAGCGTATTTGCTTCCAGCTTGGGCGGATCCAAGGTTTAGTTACAGAGCCATTGCGAGTGGGTGTCCTCATCAAAAGACAGAAAAGTATCTCGAAAGTTTCCTGGCCCAGCTCAACGTTAGTAAGGAGCCATCAATTCGTCTTGTCATCAGCCACTATCAGACGGTAAGTGGCGTAAGAGATCTCAGCGATAAGAACCCTTCGACTGTCATAAGGGTTATGGAACGCATTTACACATTTCTGCAGCAAAAGGCAGCCAGTGAACCTGATTTGAATATTTTGCTCGAAAGCACACGTTGTATCTTGGTGGAGCGAGGGAAAAAGTTCATCCTTCCTAAACAAGCAGTCCTCGAGCTTTACGAGCATCTCGAGATAGAGCCATTCTTGTACAGAGTACCTCCTGAATTTGGCAAGTTTCAGTCTTTGTTTAAGCTTCTGGGCTGCTCCAAGACTGTAACCTCTGCACACTACGCAATGGTCTTAGAGCTTTTGCAGGAAAAGTGCCAAGAAGCAAAGTTACAGCCACATGAAATCCAGATGTGTTGTAAGGCGGTTAGAGGACTACTTAACAGTTTGCAAGACGATGATGAAAGTGTGGAAACCCTCCCTAAATTGTACCTACCAGCGGTGTATCCAGAATGCGGCTCTCCCATCAAACCACTAGAAGCTAACCCTGTTACTTTGCGTCCATCAGAAGCGCTTATATTTGATGACGCTCCAACCTATGGCAGTCGGATTCACGGGATGGACCAGCTGTTCGTGCCTGACCTTAGCCTGATGGAAGTAAACTTAAAATCAGCCATGACGAGCTTTAAAGATCTTATGATGAAATTGCCTGCCTCTTTACAACCACGAATGTTATCGTCAGTGGTGAAAGAGAAACTCAGCTCCCCAGAGAGCCTAGAGGTAGTGTCAATTGAGGCAGTGAATGCACTGAAACGGCAACTCACATCTGTGCAGTTTGGACATGGATTTGCGAGGATCATAAGAGACGCCAATTATCAGAAAAAAGGCTTCGATGAAGGGGTTATAGCAGGTGTTGCAAGTGGACTCCGAAGCATTGAACTCTTATCCGTTAAAGGCCTCAAAACGTCACTTTATCACAATGACATCCTGATTCCTGAGAGTGAGCAATCAGTGATATATTTCAAAGAGAGGTTGGAGCTACCTGGCAAGGAAACGTGGAGAGTTTACATCAATGCGCTAACTCGAATAGATGAAACCATTTGGACACTGGTAGCCAATATTATCGTGGAAATGTACGGGGAATTCCTCGGTAAGAATTCCTATGTCATTACTGGTATGTTACTTTGCCCTCCCTCGAGCATCTGGTCACTCTTGGACAAGATGGGTATAAGTAAAGATGACAGTTACGGCGCAGCACAAATGAAAATCTATCCACAACCCGGTACCTATATTCCAGTTGAAGATCAGCATCTTTTGAATGACGCTTTTGAGGAAATTGAACCTGGGGAATACGTAGGTTATCAGCTGAATGACCCAAGTCTACAGGAGGAGGAAGACACTGCAATTTACATCTACGCTATAGTTACTGAGAAGGAAGCATCAAACACAGATGCTGAGATGTTGAAATCATACAGAATCGACATTGGGCATGACAAGGAGCCAGTTGATGTCAAGGCTGCTCGCTTGCATAAATTTCACCGATTGGAAGAGATATTTGATGAGCAAGAGGAATTACACGAAGATATGGAAGAAGTGTGTAAAGAGATCTCTGCCACTCTCGAGCTCGCATGGGAACTACTAGAGGAAGAAAGAGATCAAATTGTCAAGCGTCTGTTTTTGCGTTGGTTTCCAAAGGAGAATGTCCGTAATTTGGAGTTGTTCGCAGCGACCTCTGAGCATTTGAGGAAAGAAGTTTCTAGACTCAGTGGTTTTAACGATTCTTTGTTTGCTTCATGGGTAGCCCTTGTAAGAGAACGAGAATATCAGAGAGAAACTTACCGAGAAAACTTCCGCAAAAAGTACGGTTCATGGAAGTCTTCATCAGGCCAAAGGTCAGGATACAGTTTTCCTCCAAGTTTCTGTCATCAAAATTCTCAGCCAGAAGAGGCCAAGCGCTGGTTCAGACAAGCTAATGCTGATCTCGAGGCTGGCACCAGGGAATTCTCCTTCGGCAGAGATTCATATGAATGGGTGTGCTTTAAATGCTACCAGGTAATCCTGCATTTTATCCTGATATATTTCCATTGTATATTGTCCCAGCTCAGTGCGGTATAAGAATTCTGAGTTTACTCTACAACCATTAGGTGCGTCTTTCTTTGCCGGTAAATCAACAACAAGAATTCCGTCTTTAACTCTTTTAATATTTAAATAAACAGCATCGGAAAACAGCAGTAAAAGTTAAAAACACTTCTTATGTCAAGATATTGACAAACATAATCGAAGAAAACTTTCAAAGGAAATCTTATACCATTTTTGGTTAAGGTAAAGTCGACACTTTTATCAAAGGAACATTGAAAGGTCGCTGAGGGGAAGCAAGTCATTTCTGTTTAAAAATCATACGTTATAGGCTACGTTATTAGCACACTCCGATCTAATTAGCCAATATTAATGAACTTCCAGAATTTTTCACAGAGGACGTAAGTTTCAATACTAAAAGAGCACAAAGCAAGTAGGTGTGCGATCCCAGGGTTTCTTAAGAACATTTTAAGTCCCTCCAATACGATTAGGGTGCTTTTTGACGCTTTTGGCTTGGAGTCGCATATATATATGTCCATTGTAGCTCTAAAACACACGGATGGAAGAACCATTTGCTTACAATGGAGTATGCAAAGTTTCATTGTGGCATATCCAATCTCGTGGAAACAACACGAGGAGTCGTTCTTTTCTGGGATCATCAGGCAGCCCCAAACCAAAACATTCTTTCATCTACTATTATTTAATTACGTGTGGTTGTTTATGTCTTTTCAGGCAGCGGAAAAGGCCCTTAAAGCCATGCAATATAATGTGGACGCAAACCAGAAGACGAACGACCACAATTTGTGTCAAAATTGCTATGATTTTGATGACCATGGATTACCCCAGTTAGCGGGTCAACTGGAAGGTCTTGTAGTTAATTCTGCACACATGCGATATCCTGACGCTATGTCATACCCCAAGATACCAAATGACGTGTATACAGCAGAAAAGGCAGAGAAGGCCCTGGACTTAGCAAGAGACATTCTGGAGAGAGTGAAAGTCGAATTGACTTAGTTAAAGGTATGTGTGATATTACTCTCATTTTTTGTAGTCCAGAAATAAGACTATATGGCTTACGGCGAGAATGGGATGGTTGATGAAACCAAACTACACCAGCTGATTTCAAGATTCGTTAGAACTCAAAGACTCAAAAACTCATGGCGGCCTATGAACGACCTCACAGAACATCCTCTGCTAAAGTCACAACAACGGAGTTCCAGTGCCCCATCTGTTTCAGACTCTGCGCTTCCAGACTGGGTTTGCAGAGCCACCAGAGAATCCATAGATGGTCCCACATCACACAGTCTTCTTATACGAAGGACAACCACCATGCCATGTATGAACACAGTTAAGGTGGCTCAATAGGGTTTTTCAGGCTCAATACCTCCCAAGTTGGAACTTTTACCTCCAATAGCCGCCTCGATGTTCGTGACCTTTGAAGGAAATCTGTAAGAGCGTGGACGAGATATTTTGGGATGAAGTCTTTATGGGTATAATTACGGTAAAAACTGGACAATCTTAATGTTTGGCCGTTATCTGTAGAAATCGAATCGCTTTTGAGATGCAATTTCACCTCATAATAGTTTCAATCTTTTTAAAAACGAGTGTAAAAGATCATGGAGATAGCTCTAGCCGATTGCTAGAAAGAAGGATTTGATTAGTATGTATCGAGGCGCTCTTGTTGAAGGTTTTCAAATGAGCAAATAATTTTTAAACCACTCGATAGATTGAGATTCTTGAGATCAACCTTCGTTTTATATGACCTTTGAGTTTCAAGATTATTGATATATTGTAAGCTAGTAAAATAAGAGTTACAATTCGTTAAGTTTGTGTCAGAAAATTCGTGTTTATAAGTGACAACCTCTCACTGTTCAGGGGTATTGTCTCCAAGTTTCATATTTTCGTAGACAACAATATCTAACATTTCTGCATATTTCCAATGCATTGCTACTTACTGCTGTTCACGTCGAAATGAAACCTGGAAACCATATCAAAGCTCTTCGTTTCCTACAGATTACGACCGAACATGGCATTCGATTGATTCGAGTTACCCATACGTCTCACAAACTTCAGCAAACTAATAACTTTGATGTTAAGGCTTTTCATTTATCTTCGCATTTTATGATTTGGGGTGACTTCGCTATTTCCGGCTGAAAGAAAGTGGGAGGGTGTCTTATCATAGGCGGTGGCTTACCATAGGGATTTCTTGCTCTAACTCTAGTGGACCTGTGAAACGCGGTATATCGATGGGCTACACAGCCAAGCTTTAAGAGTTCATACCATTACATTGTAATTCGTGTCGGTCTACCTCCTAAAAAATATCCAGTTTCTTCAAACGTTTGGGAAAATATTCATTTCAGAAATATTGATATGAAGTATCTTCTTTTCTGTTTCAGTATTCTTCTATCCTTGAAAGATGAGTTGCGAATCAGACCACATTTAAACTAGAGTAGCTCTGCAGTTCCATTCGACGTGTGTCTTAGAAGAAGTTAGACTAATTTTTGCCAGTAGAGAAAATTATTCTCGAGTTTAGTAGTCTCATTGCAATGCCAGCTTAAGGCCCGTCCACAGTATTTCCAGATCATTTTTAAATACAGTTCTGTTTTTTTCCCACTTTTGCATACAGACCACACTGAAATGATGTTTTTGTTCACCGAAAGATAATCTTCAGATTGGAAGAATATGAAAACACCGGCTAGGTGATGTAGGATGCGTGGATTGTCGAGAACGCTGGCGTCAAAATGAAATGGCCACATGTTATCGCCTTGCTGGCGTGTTTTAATGTAATGTTTGTTCACAATCCTATTAAAGCCGAGTGTCGAGGAATCGTCTCGTTTTTGAAGTTTTCGGGATCACTGTGGACGGTTTAAAGCAATGAAATGATATACAAACGATAGTGCATTTTACTTGTTTTCAAATTCATTCAACTTGTGAATGGAGCTTATACATTGGGTGTGGCTTATACATATGTGGGCCGCTGCATGTTAGATATGAACTTTGGAGCAGGCGAAGTATAGCCAATAGCAACGTAGAGTGTATTAGTTCGTTTCAGTTTTGCAAAAGTAGTTTGAATAGTCTTATTATTTACAAAGGTGACACGACCAACAAACGTTTCTTGTGTTATGCTGCTTTTTTAACACTTTTTAAAATTTTAAATCCTTTTTGTCAGTAATTTCGATTTCTTTAGGCTCAGGAACAAATCTGTAGTTTCTTGCACCATCAAGAAATAATTTAAAGGGTTTTTAGAGGGTTTACCCAGAGTACCAAACACTCAAGAGTTTGTTTGTTCGTGTTTTGATTTAGTAACGTACATGTACACTGACATCGTTACTCGTGAGGCGCAACGCACGGAAAACCTGATTCTGTGGTCCAAAGGGACATACACCTCGTTGGAAGCCTTCATGCCAATATTTGACAGTTTTTTAGTTTTTTGATTTGAAAACTGTTGTGAATATGCGTAAGATCAACGAAATTAAACAACTGAGTTTAATGGGAGTGTTTCTTTGTTTTGTTTTTGTTTTTTTTTGCTTTTTATTTCTATCAGACAAGTGCATGACTTTTGCATGACTAGGGTCACTAGTTATTCAGTTGAAGAACACCGTGTTACCCTCGTGATTCCATAGTAAAAGAACCTAACATAGATTGTAGCTGAAACTTGGTACACTGATGTAACAAGTCAAGAACATGATAAAAAAAGTAATAAAAAGTGGGGGTCACGGTGCTCGTTTTGACGTCACAATGCTGACAAATACGGCTATTTAGGACCCTTTTACAAAAACCGCGGGTAGCCCAAAACTAGACAAAAAGGAGAGATTTTTTCGATGATGCATGTGGCGTCACACAGAATTTGACTTTAATGTATTGTTTATCCACTTACGTACCAGAAAAATGCCCTTTAATGCCCTTGTTTTTACTTTACGCTCCAAAGATAAAAAGTTAAATTGGACGCGCGCTTTTCGACCCGTGATGGCTTAATCCGTACAATCTAGTAAAATTGCCAAAAAACTGAACATAGATTTGTGCCAATTTTTTTCTCATCGAAAGGAAGCACTGTCCTTATTAAAATCATGAAATAAAAAATCGGGGTCACCGCACTCGTTTTTGCGGTAGAGCTGCAGAAAGTGCGCGCCAAATGCATTTTCTCCGATTTTGAGAGAGGACTGGGGCGAGTTTCAAAGTAGAAAGCATGTGAAAGGGGGAAGAAAATATTAAAAAATCCGTTTTTACAGAATTTACATCGAGATGTTACATTTAGGACACAATGTGATAAAGAAAGTGAGGAGAGGAGGTCGAACTCAGCAACACGCGTACTGCTTACGTTATGCACATTCCCAACACACTGAGTCTCACCTCGGCAAGAAAGGACAGCAAACAAAAATTCCAATAGCGTTTCTCCTCAGTCAACTTCATTTTAATAATGTTACTTCACATGCTCTTTTTTACGGCGGCCATCTTGTTATGCGCTGTAAGAGATGCGCTGTGCAAAACTAGGGAATCACCTTAAATAAAGTTGATTATTATTATTATTATTATTATTGTTATTATTGATGACCTCTACAAATTTGAGGAATGAAAGGCTATACAGGATATGTTCATACTATCCGGATAGCTTTATTTCCATGCCGAAACGAAAAGCTATCCGGTATACCTACGGAACACCTATCCGATATGTGACTCTCCACTTAAGAGATCGGCGCATTTTCGCTCCGTTATAGGAGAAATCGCCTTGAAATCACTGTTCTTATCAGCCTCGTACCCAGGCCTGTTCGCGCTATCCGAGTGACCAGAGGAGGCTTGGAACCGAGCGCGATAGCGCGAGGCGTCCTAGGCGAATTTTCCCGACAAGCTTGACAGGAGACGTCACATTCGAAATCGCCGAGGACGACTGGGAGCGAGGCTGCGTTCTTATGTTTGAACAAAAGCCCTACCCGGTATTTTCGTGTATTTTTTTGGCATTTTCGTATTTCCGGCGCAAAAGCTTTCCGGTATAATGCCAACGTAGCCTGAGGACCAGTTAAGATTAGGCGATCACCGTCTGTGGCTTGTTTTAAACCAGCTTAGTAACAGAACCTATGTGCAACCAGAAGCTCTATCCAGTATGGTTTTGGTGCCAGCGGGAAAGTTATTCGGTATAGTGTGAAAGTGTGAACATAACCTGAGCTATAAGAAGCTGAGTTGGGAGAAAATATGAAAATGTAACAAAATGTCGTAAACTCCTAGTCCAAATATTGTAGATGTTTAAGACCAAGACAATTATAAAAATGAGTTTTGGGAGTGTTTTTTTTTTTTTTGCTTTTGGATTCTATCTGACGGATGGTTGATGACCTCTTTAAGTAAGGGGTTTTTGAGACGCGCCAACAGCTTTGCCACACTGGTGGGCTCCAATAAGGGTGAAGTAGCTGTCTGAGGCCCCGCGCATGCGTGAGGTAATGGCCCGGCCGTGGGTTGCTGTATGTGTGCCCTTGCTTTACGTTTGCAATGTTTTCAATGCAATCGAATTAAGTTCAATCCATTTTTCATCAATTACTGTATTTCATGACATTTCTAAACAAATTCAACAGCGCGCTCGTATAGGTAAAATCTTTGCTTGTTGGCACTTAGCGATAGCTTTAACTAGTTAATTAAAACTTGATGCCCAAGCGTTCCTCTTCGAATCCTAGAGCGCGGGCGCTAAGCGCGTGCTGTCGTTCTCCTAAAAAACCCTGGGTGGGAAACAATCGGATACGTGGCTGAGATCTATTCTGGGCAGAGCTTGTTTTTCTTTATCTCTTCTGTTCTTTTCTTTTCTCTTTTTAGAGCTATTGTAGTTTTGTTTTGTTTCTTTATATAGCATGAGTTTGCATGAATTGATTTTCTTTGGATTTTTCGTCCCATGAATTTGTGTACGGATATTTTGCCTTGCACAATTTTTGCCCCACCCCCTGACGGTAACATGATCCAATCGGAAACATGATAGTTCCCAGTGCTTGGCGGTTGTCCTTTCGGTGTGACCTTTACAAAATCAGAGTGGAAGCAGTTTTGTTTGCGCTATAATTTCCCGTTACAACCATGTTTACATACTCTCATGCAAACACGCCTCTCGGCAATCAGAGTGCGCGTACATCTTAGATATTTTGTAAATAAGATAAGGGAAACTTTCACTTCATTACACTGTACTGTAATTACAATTGTTTGGGTGCCCTGTGATTACAGTTGCAGTGCCGGCTAGAATAGGAAATGTTGTGAAGCTGTCAAAAAAGCTATTTATTTTTAAGCTACCTTCCGTTCAGCTTAACCCTTGTGTCATTTTTACTGGACTGCCCGGAAAGCCCAGTCATAAATTCGGTTTAAACGGCCTCCCGGGGGAGGGAAGATACGAGGGTCTGGTACCGAGAAACGATGTTCTCACAAATGGTTTCATATGATTTTTCCTTGCACGGAGCCTTGCACGGATACTTGCCATGCAACAACCTTGCCATGTTAGAAGACTGGCTTTTCCTTTAAATATTTCCTTCTATTTAATTTGGAGGTCTAAATTTCGGATACTGAGGATAAAGAAGACACGGACAAAAATAGGAACTCTGAGAATTTCGCACACAAGTTCAAGGCTTGACTTGGGGAAAACAGGAGCTATTACTGACAAGGTTTGGTGACTGAGTAGAACATACAAGTTTAGCCCACGTCGAGGTTTCAGGGGGTTTGCTTTTGTTTGTATCTGTATCTTGCTAAGCTTTTGTCATTAAATTTGTACATGATCTTGTGATCACCATTCTGTGTTTTCGCCCATTCAGCAAGCACGCTATATTGATGTCAGCATTCGCGAGTTCCAGAAACATGCCTTTGAAAATTTTCAGCTCTCGTGATGTTTCTTGATATTTCTTCTACCATTTAATGGAGATGTAAACTGAAGTCACCGCAAAATGGAAACTTAAAAAAGCGTATAATCCATTTATCTCGAAACATAATGCACATGACTTATATGACCTTTATTTTCCTAAAGGTGTTTTGAATACGAGCGAACACAGTCAATGTGAGGGGCAAAAACAGCATTAATATACTCAGTAAATGAACCATAGGGTTTTAACTAATATAAGGGTCAATCATTGTGCATTGAGATGAATCGCTTGAAAAGAGAGACTTCGCTTGAAGATGTTATCAGAAGTAAACAAAGTCACAATAGTGCGTCACGTTCAGTCTTTTTAATATCCAAGGACTGTGAATAGTGATTCCATATTGTTTAGCTGGCACAAAAACTTCGGAGGAGTTATAAAGCGGCATAATTATCGTCCATGAAGAAAAGTTAGTCATGGGTGAGACAAACAATGAACTCGAGCGAGTTTTTAACTCATATCGGTATCAGGTAAAATACATTGTTTGAAGTGCGTGCTGATGAAAGTTAGAGAAAAATAACAGGAGGAAAATCTTAAAACTGAATATTTTTTATCTTGTGGAAAAAATAGTGCGTTTTCATGTAGACTGTAGACCGCAAATTAGGATCGTCTATTTACTGCACTTTTCACAAACGTGCGAATTCTGAAGTTCAGAAGCCAACCGACGATTGCGTTTTTCGCTGCTTTCGATCATCTTATCTTAACGGACCTCTTAAGAAACAAAACTTTTCTTCACGGGTTCAAAAGGTCATGGTTTGTGATTTGTGGATTTCGATCCGTTTTGTGTTTCTCTGTTTCAAGGTTCGTCGCTTGTGATCGTAATTATGATTGACGGCAGCGAAAAACAAAATTGTGAAGTTTAGAGTTCGCATGTTTGTGAAAAGCGCAGCAAAGTCTCCGTGTAGTCAGAGGCCCCTGGATCAGGCGGGATCAATGGGCAGTTGGCTGTCTGTTTTAGTATACTTCTGGTTTTCATACAGTACAATATTTCTGTCTAGTGTAAATCAGCTCCGTCCGTCGCACTTTATGCTCGTAGAACGACAACAATTTTTGGAATTTCCGGTTACGTCGAATTAGCCACGTTATACTGTCACGCTATATTTTGGGGCACAGAGGGATTGGGGGAGGGGTGCGTGAAAATAATGCAAATCGTTTCCTGCTTAGAATTAATGGCTAATTTGTTTATTTTTATTCATAATGGTGGAATTTAAAAGTTATTATACAGCCCCCACTTAAAAATGGTACTCTTTTTTTTGGTTACGAAAGTCTTTCAAAAGGGTACAATGTTCTGAATGAGTTTATGTTTCAGTCTCACATGAGATTCTGTCGCATGCAATGGTCGGCGACAAGGTTTTGTAGTAGCCTGAGTGTGTATAGCCGCCCCCTCCCCTCAGAAAAAATAGCCCCTTTGCAGCCCAGTTAAAAATCGCCTTTCGGCGATTCTTGTCTTAGAATATTTAGCTATGAAAGAATTTCGCCACATGAGCTAAGATAGTTGCTAAGGATGATGGGTATTGTGGGTTTTCTAAGGAATCCAGCGTTGGTCACGTGACATCGTGTGATTCTTGAGTTTCTCGGAAAAGGTTTGTAAGAGCGCAGG